GATACAGATTCCATACTGAAACTAATACAAAAATTATCATTTGTAGAGTTCTCGTGTGTATCAAAGAATATTCACAAGTGCCTGAAAAGACAAGTAAAATACTCCTTCCTTTTTCAGTTACATATATATTTTAGGAGGATTTTCTTCATGTACTTCAATCAAAACAACATATCTCAACAGATTGAACTTGGAACCCGATAAGAGATTCTGGCTGCATTCCATTATGCCAGACAGTAAAGAGATTTGCCCAAATTTAAAATAAATTCCTTCTTTTCACACCATTTTTAAAATTTGTGATAATATAGTTATTTTTATTAAAAATACATTTTATATGTAGACATACAAGGGCTTATTATTACATTAATAAAAGTTATAAAATCTTCTAATTTTTAATACGGTAAATATGAATAGATAAGTTGCCTATAAATAAAAGCTCTTTGACATTGTAATTTTAAGAGTATAAAAAGGTCCTGAAACCAAAATGTTTGAACCATTGTTCTAGGATCAGCCCACCTGTTTACCCTTCATTACTGCCACTCTTTCTTCTAATCTTCAAGTTAATTCCATCACTCCTATCCATGGCTTATGAAGTGTGCTCTATAGAGCTCTAAGGAGACCTTTGGTGATTATATCCTGCCAGTATTTCAGTCCTTGCTCTTAGCAATCCCTTTTGAGCAGGTTGTTCTCTACCCATAATGAACTTCTTTTTTTTTTTAATTTTTAAAAATTAATATATAATGTATTATTAGCCCCAGGGGTACAGGTCTGTGAATTGCCAGGTTCCGTAGAACTTCTTAGTTATTCCCAGGCCCTCCCTGCTTTTTCCCATGCGTATACTGTCTCCTAGTCTAACATGTTTCTACTGATAGGTCTTTGTCCCAACTTTGTCCGAACTACTACCACCACATTAGTTGGTCAAATCCCAACCAGTCTAATAAAATTTCCTCAGGGAAATACCCTGATTTCCCTTCCTATCCTTACCTGGGCAGAACAAATTGCTCCCATTTATGGAACTCAGACAATAACCAGCAGTACATAATTGTATTATAATTATTTGTGTCCACATCTCTTACTCTGGATTGTCAGCTCCTTAAAAGCAGGGACCATGGGTGTTAATCCAAACATAGTATTGATACACAGTAGTCCCTCAATAAATATTTCTCAAATAAATGATCCTTATCCTTCCAGGTTTAAAATTCTATGGTCCATCCTATAATAGGATTTTTTGAACTACAGTATTCTTATTGATTAAGAGAGGGATGCATTTCCTTTACTCATCCACATTCACAGACACACTTTGGTTTTTAATCAAAGAGATCACCTCCTTAGTCTTTTTTTATCTTTTTTGTCCTTGTAAGGAGAGTTCTGGAGAAAATCTGGCATATTAAATTTGATGTATTTTAATAAATTATAATGCATATATATTCATTAATAATATATATCCCACACCAAGGCATCAGTAGGAATTAATTTTTTAAAAGTCTGCTCTAATAGGAATATAAAATTATGTAAGAGGTCTATATAATAGGCTTGCAAAGAATAAGAAGGAAGGGGGAAAAATTAAAATAGAACTGCCATGGAACTATGAGATGTTTCTAAAAAGCAAAGCTGCAGAAGAAGCCATGAGAAGCTCCCCTCACTGTGATTTTTTAATGTCTCAACCTATCCAAAATATTGGGCAAACCTTAGTTCACCTTAAAGGAAAAGCCAAGAGTCTGGAACTGGCCTACCTTTTCAGGATTTAGAGACAATAGTGTGGCAGTTTCAAAGAGACTTCTTTACCTCTTTTTGACTAAGACTCAAATTCTTTGTTCTAATCCTTGATAAGTGAATAGGAAGGTAAAAAATTATTTCTGTTTAAATATGTTTTTACAATTTTTTGATACCTTGCTCCATGTCATCTCAAAGAAATCAAAGTAATCTATACAGATTATTAAAATAGCTCATTAGATATTTTTAACCTAATTTCATTTTAAAAGTTAGGAATTAGGAAACTCCAGTTAAATGAGTATGATTGGTTATTTCTTTACAGCAAAGTGTTGTCACATATTGGTAAGGTATTTCAATGACACTGAGGTTGAAGGGAGTTAAATGTCATAAGCAAACTGTTAGTTACAGCCTCAATATGAACCCAGAACTCAGATTCTGATTGCTGCATGTTTTTCATTCCATTGTTAATAAAGAAACAAAAATTAGTTTAACTAAATGCTCAAATACAAAAGTAACCTTTTTTTCCTCCCATAAGAAAGCAACCATGTTTCATAGAAATGTCTTAAGATAGCTTTGTCATGCTGTTGCATTTTTTTTCTCACCATAGCACATACCCTCCCTAACGTCCATCACCCAGCCACCATATCTCTCCCATTCCCCCCCAGTCCAGCAACGCTCAGTTTGTTTCCTGAGATTTCATTTTCATTTAGCACTTGGTAAGAACCAAATCCATTCAGTTGATGAAAGGTGATGAGAGATAGGTGGATTACACATCTCTGGGTATTTAAGGCTTGCAGTTAATGTGCAAACTCCTTCCACATTCAAAAGTATAAATGCGATTATCCCATACAGCTTAGTGCTGGGTTATGTGAACATCAAAATGGCCATAAAATGGCTAAAAATTTTAATTCTAGTTTGTGCCATCTGCCATGAATTTGGAAGGTACAAATTAAATAGCTGAATTAGAAGGTTTGAGAATACTTTTTCAATTTTAATATAAAATGAACCAACTAATTTATTTTGTGCCTTCTAAATTCATTTGGTAGGGTACAAAACAAAACAAAACAAAGCAGCCCCACCCCACCATAAATCAGAAGTTATTTTTCAGAGCTAGTGGCAAAAATGACATGGCTTTCTGATATCTGATATTTTATAACTTACTTGGAATATACTTTCATAGTAGCAAAAAATACAGCAATGTCATATTATAAATACTAATTCAATGAAAAGACACAACTATTAAAAATACTTTAGTCATTGGAATAGACCAGGGAACTAGTAATTCAGATATAAACTCAAAAAACTTATATAATAATCTATAATCATTTTTAGTCTCTATCATTTTTCTTACATTGCTATAAAATCTAGAGTTCCTCACTCTCTGTAAGCTTAGTATATCCATGAAATAAACAGCTAAGAATTAAAAGGTCATTTAGGGATAAACTACTATGGAGACCAGAATAAGTGTGGGAGCAGAGATGAGGTGGGTGGTTGGGATAGGGAGAATGTCACAGATGACTTTGATGATTACCCCGATGTCATGGTTGTAGACTGTTCTATAAGGGACTGATGTACTCACTGTATTTTGTTGTTACTGTTTCTTTTTTCTATCCTAATTTTTTAAATGTGATTTTTGGCACAATGCAAAATAAAGTTAACTGTTAACTTAGATTTCCAAATACAAGAAAAATACAATAATCTAGCTTGGATTTCTGGCATTTTTGACAGTTCTGTCACATTTCTAGCAGATTTTTTTTTTTCCCTTTCCTGGAGAATTAAGCAGGTGTCTGCCTTCTTTCCTTTCTAATCCCAGGCAGTTGCTTGGCATGGGTGAATATGACCCTGTACTCTGTACTTCCTAGCCCACTCCAGGAGCTCACTGGTCAGCTGTGGTTCCACCAAATAAGGGCCTTACTTAAAGGAGAGTGGCTTGAATTGTGAGAATGCCTGAAATCACAACAGAGGAAATACTGAAGGAACGAAAGATAATTAGATTATGATAGATGACACCAACACAGTGCACTAATCCCAAAACGATTCTAGACACTTAATGTAAATTAATTCATTTATTCCTTATGATAACCTGGGAGGTCAGTTCTCATAGCATCCCCATTTTATAAATGGACACTGAAGCACTGAGGGGTTACATTCTGCAAAGTCATACAGCTCATCAGTGACAGAGCCAGGGTTAAGAACAGGGGCAGTCTAGCTCCATAGTCCATGCTTCCAACCACTACACCAAATGGAAGATTCAGAAAGAATATGAAAAGTGTCTTAGAGTAGTTGAGTAACAGCAGACTGGAAAAGGAAATACATTCTGCATTGCCTCAGAAGATGCTTCAGAAGGATCCAAGGTGAGAAGCTGAAAGGAAATAGTTTTGGGGGTACTTGGGTGGCTCAGTCAGCTAAGCATCTGTCTTTGGCTCAGGTCATGATCTCAGGATCCTGGGATGGAGCCTCACGTCAGGCTCTCTACTTAGCGGGGAGTCTCCTTCTCCCTCTCCTCTTGCTCCTTCCCCCGGTTCATGCTTTCTCTCTCTCTCTCTCTCTTTCAAATAAATAAAATCTTTGAAAAAAAAAGAAGAAAAGAAAATAGTTTTGACTTCTCTGTCGCTACTGACGGTCAGGCTTTATTTGGATAACCAATGCTCACTGATGATGATGGTGACAACCAGAACAGCAGTTGGATTAGGCAAAACTTCTTTTCTTATTCTGAGATTTTAGGAGTCAGGCATATACCAGTGTATTTCTTTATTTGGAGAGCTAGTAAGATGTGATAAAAGGTGTGAGGGTGGGGAATGATGGGTCCTTAAGTAATTTCACTGACAAGCATTACTGACATTACTCTTTTTACCAAAGTATACTATAATATGTTTTGGTTCAAAGGTCTCAGACCAGACTTTGATAGACTTATAAAACTAGTTTATTGAACATTAGACTGGATAATGATGCTTCCGGGTTAAAATTTGTAGTGCAGCCCTAAGATGTTTATACTTTTAAAAAGTCACCAGAAGAATCCCCAAAGGAACATTGTAAAATGTTTATACTGCATACTGAGAAAGAAAAGAAGTCTATGCATTGAAGAAGAGAAGTTTTTTCCCACCAAAAATAAATATTCATTTATTAATATACTACCAAAGAAATTGCTAGAAGAAACATTAAATGACATCTTGGCTGATTTTCTTAATCCCTCTCACTCACTTGCTTTCCTATCTCTCATGCATTTTTTTCCCTTGGTAGGCAATTCTTATGCAAGAAGCTAAACGTAATTAAATGTGCAGGATGAAAAGATGGCACAGGCACTGCTGGTACCCCCGGGGCCTGAAAGCTTCCGCCTTTTTACTAGAGAATCTCTTGCTGCTATCGAAAAACGTGCCACAGAAGAGAAAGCCAAAAAGCCCAAGAGAGAACAAGACAATGATGACGAGAACAAACCAAAGCCAAATAGTGACTTGGAAGCTGGGAAGAACCTTCCATTTATTTACGGAGACATTCCTCCAGAGATGGTGTCAGAGCCCTTGGAGGACCTGGACCCCTACTATATCAATAAGAAAGTGAGTGTGGATTTTATACTTTCAAAAGTTAAGTTATATTTCCAAATTTAAGTCTTTAAACATTAATGTTAATATACTTTTCTCTGGCTCATATACATACTGCATCGTAAGTTTTCTACTGTTAAAGACTTTGTACTTTTTATTTCCACTTACTTTTAAGCACAGTAGCCAAAGTCAAGATTTGGCTACAGTGAAGAGATATGATAGATAAACAAATGCTTTCTACAATTTCACAGTAACTGAAATAGTCAAAATGAAAATTGATACTTACAAAGCAAAATATGTTATCACTGACATATTTCAGCACATGGTAGACAACAGAAGAAGAGTCATGTAAAAGAAGAGTTATGGGCATATGTACTTCTTATTTTTTAGTTATTAATTGTCTTGAAGTTTGCTCACAAGAGATTTGTATTCTAGAGGATAATAATCTTACTTAGCATCCTCCTATAAGAAGATAATACATTGACAAGCACAGTCACACCTACTCAGCGAAAAAAATGTCAAGAACAAAACACAAAAACCCCTCAAGTTTTCTCTATCTACATATGACTTTAATCAAGTTATGACTATGCCTTCCTAATGCTATAATAACAATATAATTCTGTCGGAATTAACTAGTTTTTGAAGTTAAACCAGCTGTGCAGAGTTTTATAGCAAATATTTTTTTCTTAAATGGATGATAGATACTGCACCATCTAATTGGGTATTTTGGCATTTTATAACACACAATTTATATTTCACATTCATAAGCATAAAAAAAAGGTCTATATAGAAACTAGAGATAAATAAATATCACCATAAATTGATAGTTTGTGGTTTAAAGAAGATACTGAATGCCTTTATTAATCAGATCCAGTCCTTTTAGAAAGAATAGCTAAGGAAATTGCATTCTCTAAGCACTATGTGATTTAATCTTATAAGATCAGTGATGGGTAAAGAACCTGACAGTTAACCATCCAAAGGTGGAACTAGCCCTATTGCCCTCAAGGAGGGCTTCTCAAACTTGCATGTGTATACACATCATCTGAGGATCTTGTTAAGATACAGATTCAGATTCCAGAGTTCTGTGGGGCCAGAGATCCTGCATCTCTAACAAGTACTGGGGTGAGACTCCTTCTGCTATAATACACGGGCCATACTTGGAGGAACAAGCTCTAAAATGCTTTCTATAAGTCATAAAATAAACTTAAATAGTTAAACAGGCCCTTTCTTTTTCCTTTGAAACTAGTTTCATGAAAGTGGCATTTAATTCTGATTCACACATTTTTGAAAGTCATTTGTTCCAGTACTCTACTATAGAAGTGATAAGGAAAATTTTGAAAATTTGAAATTTAGTTACTGTTACTGTTATACATGATGATGACAGTGAGACCTCCCCCCAGAAACTAGAATAAAATTCTCCTTAAAATTACTGATTCAAAGTATATATTTGCAAAGATGTCTTTAAGAGACAGGGATATGCTCACTCTGACATACTTAGAAGTATTAGCTACTAAAAGAAAGGAAGTATCCTTAGGAAAGGAAATTGGTAAGATTAAGGGGTGGGGAGAATAAAAGAGACAAACACTGGCATTTTCCAAAGGAAACAGGTCTTTAGAGTAGCCCTGAAAGCATTTTCCTCCCCAAATCAAGGCTATTTCATTGTAGACGAGCTACACGGGGCTACCTAACAGAGGTGTCATTAAACATTGTGCAGCATTTGATTAAGTCGGCTTGTTTGGACTCCACCCTCTGCAAAGAACCTTCTTATTATAATTTGTCTTCCCACAGATCTGCCTGAAAGGAAAGAAAATGCTGGTTATGCCACTGCAATTATTTCAGTCCATGTGACAGTAATACATCTCATTGTAAATAAGTAGATTGGCATTCTGATTTTGTATGTGAGGCTTTCAGGCTTGGTTACTGTGAGTCCGCTGCTAAGAAACAGAATTGTTCTGTGTATGCTAACAAAGTCAGTTTTTATGGCCTTCCTGTCTGAGAACCAGACTTGGACCTTGATTTATTCCTAGTGGCCATGGCCCATCTTGCGAGACATCTAGACTATTCACTTTTTACTGGTGGTGCACTGCCTTTCTTTATGAAGTACCTATAAAAATGAAGACTGAGATACTATTGAAGAAAAAGGTAGTTTGTGATTGTTAGGATTGAAGGAGCTAACGTTAAGAAGCTAATGGAAAAGTTCTGGAATTAAAAACATGGTATGAAGTTTATGTTAATTATTTGAATAACGCAGGTAAAAGGCACTTCAAAACTGTAAAGCATTACGTAACAGTTTGTTGCCATTAATTATGATATATTTTACATACCTAATTTAATCAGATAATCAGATGAGCCACCTCACAATGCATTTCAATGGTGTTTAAATTGACCAGGTAACAACTGAGGAATAGTGACGCTGATAATCATAAGAAGCTAACGTTTGTTGTGTTCCTACTTTGTTGGGCACTGTTTCAGTGCTTTAAGTGTCATAATTCATTTAATATTCCAAGAACCAGTCAAGCAGTACTATATTAGCCTCATTTTACACACAGGAGGTCAAGCCCAGAGAGGTTAAGTAACTTGCCCAAGTCACACTCCGTAAGTGGTGAATTCAGGGATTGAAGCCAGGCAGTCAGAACTCTTAAGCACTAAGCAAAATTATATATGGCATTTATTAATAAAATGAAAGAAAACGTTAAAAAATTGGTTGTATGCTGTTTTGAATTCTCTATTTGATAATGTCCTATTCGCAGATATAAAGCTTACTCTTGCCTCAAATAGTAAACATTTTAGTGAACCTGTAAGATGTATATTCATCTGGGAAAAAGCAAGCAGCATTCCAAAGTGAACAACAACTAGTTAGACATACTTACATTATAACATTCATCACCTTAGTACTAATAGGTAATAATTTTTTTAAGTCACATCATTATTTATCATTACTTGAAGACCAGATTTTGGACTTGACACTATTTATCCCTCCTCCAATTATCTGTCACTCTCTCCAGTAATTTTCAGTTTATGCCCATCTCTCAATAACCTGAGTCCCAAACTTCAAGTGTCTTCCTTGTAATTATTTCACTATACAGGATATTAGTATTTTATTCTTCATTTCTCAGAACTCAAGGTTTTGTGTTAGGTGGTGTTCACCAGAAATAAACTTGAAATTGTGCTCTTAAGGCCTGCTCTGTTCCAGAACCTGCAAATTCAATGAAGATGCCCTTGACATGTCATTTTTAATCCCATTAGTTCCATGAAGGCTAAGGCTAATCTTTCGGGAGAGCAGAGGATTTCATGTTTAAAGGGACATTTCACTCCTGTCACTCTGTTTTTGGAGATTTTTCAAAATAAATTCCTCTCCTAGCTTTACAAGTGGTAACTGCTTTTTCAGGGAAACTGCCTCAGAATGAGTAAACGCACTTTTAATTATTGTGAAGTTTACATCATTGAATGCCTAAATGTATCTAGATTGTTTGTAATATTAAATGATCTAATCCTGTGAATTCAAGAAAGTCCTTTAATGCATTTGTGCTTCGAGGGCAGTTTTCCTAATATCCAAAATCCCTTATGGATGATCTCAATGCTCATAAAAAAGTTTACTTGCCCTCCTCGTAGAATTGTTCAACTTTATAGATTGCTATTCATGGAAAATGGTTGGTTAGGTAATGTTTGGCTCCATGGTCTTGAATACAAAAGGGTAATGTATGGAGAAATTGTTTTCTCTGTCCTTTATACTCAAAATATAAGTTTTTCTGTCTACCTATTCAAACACTACCATGTTGTCAGTGAACATGATTGTAGGGGATACAGACCTTAGTTTAAGAGTAAAAACATATTATTAAGCAAATGGATGTACTGATGTCTTAAAGGTAAATGGCATCTTAAAGGTAAGCCTGCCCTTAATTAAAACAAGTGTTTATTTACAAACCACACTATTAAGTACTGTGGGGAAAAATGGAGAAAAAGTAGATTAAGGCTTTTATGCTCAATAGGTTCCAACAACTTCTAACCTAGTCCTCAGTGGAGTGAACCCTACATGTAAATTGCTACTTGACTGTAATTAAAAGCAACATGCCAATGTGTGCAAATTAATATACTAAGACTTACTGGTAAAGGGAAACAATTAGAAGTGATCAGAAGGCAGTGATTTATCTGGAAAGGCATGATGGAGGAGGTGATTTTGATAACTGAGGACATTTTTGAAAGTAGGTCTTTTCAAACCTGGCTGCATATTAAAATTACCAGAGGAAATTTTAAAAATAATACCCATGGGGCGCCTGGGTGGCTCAGTGGGTTAAACCTCTGCCTTCGGCTCAGGTCATGATCTCAGGGTCCTGGGATCGAGTCCCACATCGGGCTCTCTGCTCAGTGGGGAGCCTGCTTCCTTCTCTCTCTCTGCCTGCCTCTCTGCTACTTGTGATCTCTCTCTGTGTGTCAAATAAAATCTTTAAATAATAATAATAATAATAATAATACCCATGTCTATGCCCATCCTCCAGAAATTCTGACTCAATTGGTTTTGTGTGGGACCCAAATATTGGCAAATTTAAAATCACCTCAAGAGAATCAAATATACAGAGAGGACTAAGAACTTTGATTAAATAGTTGGTAGGACCTCATTGTCAGGCCTGTTATGGACCTGAAATGGGGGGAGTTTATATTAGATGACCTCTCAGGTACCTCCTTCTTCTAGGATTTTATGACACATTTTCAGAATCAGAGGGCGAAGCTGACAGGTTGTGAGTTAAATTGACAGGTGGACAGTCAATTTGTTGGAGAAGAGACGGCTTAGTGGGAAAAACTAAAAGTTGATCCTGGAGAGATGTGGTGGGTAATCACTGAGTAACATGGCTTAAATGTTAAATTGATGGTTACAGGTTTCAGGTCATAGAATTTTAGCTACAGAATGCCCTTTGAAATGATGTATTGAAGGCTAATTCTCAATGCAGCTTTCCCTTCTTAGTATTACCAGCAGATCTACAGAATCAGCAAAACCAGGTTACTCAGCCTGTTTGAACATTTTAAAGTAGGACAACTTCCATAGGGAAAATAGAGAGGATTCATAAACTTTAGAGTTCAAAGACTTGAAATAATTAAAATAAAAAAGATTATTTTTGTAGCAATATGTACAGAATAATCTGAAAAAGTTACTAAAACTGGAGACAGATGGTAAGCTTTAAATAAAATTGGAATCTGTAAAGTTACAATTTGATAAAAAAAATTTGTGTAGGATCATCAGTTTATATCAGAAAGTTGGAACTCTAGAGACAAATTAGGTAATAGTAAATCATATGTTTACTATGTTAAGTCAGGCGAGAAACATCTAACATGTTTATAGTTACAATAAACCAATTTGTTTAAACAAACAAGTTTGAACAAACAAATCAGGTAAAAAGTTCTTCATCTGTTTAAGCTCTTCAAGTAAGCCACATGTCTAATCTAGTAATTTTTTTCATATTTTCTTTTTCAGACTTTTATAGTATTGAATAAAGGGAAGGCAATTTTCCGATTCAGTGCCACCTCTGCCTTGTATATTTTAACTCCGCTAAACCCTGTTAGGAAAATTGCTATTAAGATTTTGGTACATTCATATCCTTTTCATGTGATTGAATGCTGGTACTTGATTTTATAGAAAATGTCATTCTTTTATACATATTTTTATATATTTATATTTTACGTATATTGTGTTATATATTATATATAATTTCTTTAATATTAATTGTGACATTGTTATTTAATCCTTTCTCACTGATTTTTCTGCCACTTATTAAAATATTAGTATAGAATGACTATTATGATCCTAGAAGTAAAAATGAACTATATTAGTGAATGTGTAAATGAAACATACTGTGTAGAAGGAACAACAGCAAATCTACTTCACACTTTTATTATCCTCCAGACCACACATAATTATTGCTAAAGAAACATAGTCTATTGTGGTTAGTATTATTATCCATATTACCAAATATTCTTACTTTTATGCCTTGATTGGTTCTGTATCTTCAGCACCTGGATCTGTCCATCCTTCTTTTACTAAATATTTATTAAACTATATATGTGCCTAAATATCTAATATATATTTAAAAATAACTGAACTTAAGACTACTTACAATGATAGTCAAAAACCATCAAACAAGGACAGAATAGGTGTGGATTTCAACAAATTCTCCAATAGGTAATGATAAAATAGAAAGGTATTCAGAGGCTGTGTCTAAGAACGGACATTTTTTATTTTTTTTTAAGTTTTTTATTTAAGTTCCTGTTAGTTTAACATACAGTGTAATATTAGTATCAAGTGTACCATTTAGTGATTCAACACTTCCATACTGTACCCAGTGCTCATCACTAGTGCACTCCCTAATCCCCGTCATCTATTTAACCCACCCCCCACTCACCTCCCCTCTGGTAACCATCAGTTTGTTCTCTGTAGATAAGAGTCTATTTCTTGGTTTGCCTCTTTTTCCTCCTATGATCATTGGTTTTGTTTCTTAAATTCCACCTATGAGTGAAATCATATGGTATTTGTTCTTCTCTGATTGACTTGATTCAATTAGCATTATATCCTCTAGCTCCATCCATGGTGTTGTAAATGGCAAGATTTCAATCTTTTTTAAGGCTGAGTAATATTCGCACACGCGCGTGCGTGTGTTTGTGTGTGTACACACACACCACATCTTTACTCATTCCTCGGTTGATGGACATTTGGGCTCTTTCCATAATTTGACTATTGTAGATAATGCTGTTATAAATACTGGGGTGCATGCATCCCTTTGAATTAGTATTTTTGTATTCTTTGGACAAGTGCCTAGTAGTACAATTGCTGGATTGTAGGGTAGTTCTATTTTTAACTTTTTGAGGAGCCTCCATATTGTCTTTCAGAGCAGCTGTATGTTTGCATTCCTACCAACAGTGTAAAAGCGTTCCTCTTTCTCTACATCCTTGCCAACATCATTTGTTTCTTGTGAGAAGTTATCATTTTTTTTTCTTTTTCAAATTTTTATTTAAATTCTAGTTAGTTAACATACAGTGTAATACTGGTTTCAGGGGAGTTTAGTGATTCATCACTTACAGGAAGCTCCAATGCTCAACACAAATGCCCTCCTTAAAACCCCTCATCCATCTAGCCCATTCCCCGCGCACCTCCTATAGTTAAGAGTCTCTTATGGTTTTTTTCCCTCTTTTTCCCCCCTCCCTTATGTTCATCTCTTTTGTTTCTTAAGTTCCACATATGAGTGAAATCATATGGTATTTGTCTTTCTCTGACTGACTTATTTCGGTTAGCACAATACACTCTAGTTCCATCCACGTCATTGCAAATGGCAAGATTTTTTTCTTTTTGATGGCTAATATTCCATTGTGTGTGTGTGTGTGTGTGTATACATACCACATCTTCTTTATCCATTCATCAGCTGATAGACATTTGGGCTCTTTCTATAATTTGGTTATTGTTGAGAATGCTGTTATAAACATCATGGTGTGTGTGCCCCCTTTGAATCAGTATTTTTTTTTTAATCCTTTGGGTAAATACCCTGTAGTGCAATTACTGGGTCATAGGGTAGTTCTATTTGTAACTTTCTGAGGAACCTCCATACTGTTTTCCAGAGTGGCTGCACCAGTTTGCATTCTCATCAAGAGTATAAGAGGGTCCCCTTTTTCTACATCCTCACCAACAACTGTTGTTTCTTGTGTTGTTAATTTTAGCCATTCTGACAGGTGTGAGGTGATATCTCATTATAGTTTTGATTTGTATTTCCTTGATGATGAGTGATGTCAAACATCTTTTCATGTGTCTTTTGGCCATCTGTATGTCTTCTTTGGAAAAAGTCTATTCATATCTTCTGCCCATTTTTTAATTACATTATTTGCTTTTTGGGTGTTGAGTTTTATAAGTTCTTTATATATTTTAGATACTAATTCTTTATCATATACATCATTTGCAAATAATCTCCCATCTGTAGGCTGCCTTTTAGTTTTGTTGACTATTTCCTTTGCTGTGCAGAAGCTTTTTATTTTGATGAAGTCTCAATAGTTTATTATTGCTTTTGTTTCCCTTGCTTCAGGAGACATCTAGTAAGAAGTTGCTATGGCTAATGTCAAGGAGACTACTGCCTGTGTTCTCCTCTAGATTTTAACGGTTTCCTGTCTCACATTTAGGTCTTTAATCAAGAATGGGAATTTTATACAGATAGATTCAAAATAGCCTCATTAAAAAAAAAAAAACTAAAAGAGAGACAAAAGACTGGTTAACCTAGAGATAGGGTAAATAGGACCGAACTTTTCATTTGAATTCTTTTCATTCTATGGTTTGATATTAGCAAGCATTTATATTTTTAAATTAAAGATTTACCCCCAAAATAACCATAATATTCATTAGAGTGAGGTCTGATTGAGATCCTAATAGAAATTAATTACAGCTAATTCTCAGGAAGTTTTCAAAACAGCACTCATCTGTTTAGGAACAATGTGGACTAGATACAGAAGGATATCTAGATGGTCCATTAAGTTCTCCCACAGTCTAAAGAGAAAATAAAAAGTTAGAAAACAATATTAACTTATGAGCAAAAAAATTCTCTCTTCCTTTACTCTTATAAAACACTGAAAGAATGAGTCACATCACAATAAGATTATTAAAAGTAACTGATTACAGTACAATTCTCAATCAATGTAATCCTTGAATATACTGGGGTATTCTTTCTCGGGTTTTTATATTGCATTCATTAATGTTTTATCAGTCAATGGTGATTTTAAATTATATCTGAAGTTTGTACTTCAGATGTAATAACATTTATACTTTTCACACTTTTATTTTACACCTACATTGTGAACTTACTAAAGAATGGTCATTTCTCCTTGCAGTGCTATTTCACATAACTAATTGGAATGCAAAATTCCCATTGCTTGAAACAGAGATCTCTTTCCATTAAATTCAGTTCTGTGAAGTTTTACATTTCATGTAAAATGAAAAAGAGTAGACCAAGGATGTATGACAGGCTTTGAAGCTTCTTATTACTTTTGCCATTGTTTTAAAACAAATAAGACATATTTCACAGTAACTTTGATAATTTTTTTTGGTATTGGGTTGTTTGTAAATGGTCTTGATAATATACTAGCATTTATTCCTTAACTATAATCTACTTTATTCAGCATGCTTATCATGTGCACTATTTTGACCAACTGTGTATTTATGACCTTGAGTAACCCTCCAGACTGGACGAAGAATGTAGAGTAAGTAGGAATGACTTCTTCGAATGAGAAATGCACATTCAAATTACCTAGCTTTGCCTTATGGTTATGGTCTGACTTAAGTTTTACACGTTTCTGGAGTCAGGCTAAAAACTTCTAAGAAAGAGTTATTTCCATAACATGAAAGAACATAAGGGAAGTTCTTTGGGGGAGCTTCTCTTCTATGAGGTAAGTATTCTTTCCAAAAAATGCATGATAGTATCTGTTTAAGAAAGGTTGTAAAGAGTAAATACACTAGCTGGTAAACTAAACCAATCATTTAGCATAAAAGTTAAAATTCAATAATAGGTATGCATTTTAGATTTTTTTTTTTAAAATGACCATTTTGGGCACCTGAGTGGCTTAGTGGGTTAAGCACCCAGCTCTTGATTTCAGCCCAAGTCATGATCTCAAGGAGCTTATGCAGAGCCCCACATCAAGCTCTGCACTCAGCAGGAAGTCGGCTCGTGGATTCTCTCTCTCTCAAATAAATAAATATTTAAAAGAAACAACAAAGCCATTTGAGTAATATGAAGAATAAAATTATTTTATGCTGGTATATTACTATTATTGTTATATTCCCATAAAACAGATTTAGGTGTTTAGCATAATATTATTATAGTAGGTATTTTGGTTATATGTTATATCATTATAGTTGGGAAAATACATTTAGGTGTTTAAGTAACTTAGATATTTAGTTATACTTAGATATGTAGTTTATTCAGACACAGCATGTGTGCTAAAACACCATAGATGTGTTCCATAAAAGAAATAAAACATCTCTACAAAATCATAGCTCAAAAAATAATAGGGCTTAAGGGGAAAACATGATTAAGAGCAGATCACTCAAAACTTAGGAAACTTTGTAATTAAAACACTAATAAAAACCATACAATCCCAATAAAAATACTGGCCAAGTGAAAGCTCTATAGACATTTGTACTTAAAATCATAGCCAGAAACTCCTTTGCAGTCTCACAACCAGGTTGTGGCCTTTCTGCCTTAAAACGAAGACCTGGGGACATTTCTATCATGTCATCAAACTATTTGATGTATTATTTTAATACAAAGGAAAAGGTCTAAGCACAATATTTCTTGGGCATTAAACTAGCCCCTGCTTCCACTAAAGAAGACTCTTATATGTCTGCATTAGTACTTAGGTCTCCCTTTAATGCTAAAGATGTTTTATTTAAATGTAAGGATAAAAATGCCATTAATTGATTCAAAACATCAATGTGCTGAGGAAATTTTTGCATTAACTAACATAATTTCTCCATTATAACAGCATTATTTCCCAAGTTTTCTTTCACATGTGAGATTATTCATGACAGAGAAACATATTATTTAATGAAACAGAAGGTGTTTATGTTATGTAGGTTATTTATGTATTGTATAATACAATGATAACATTTGGTAAAAAAAGGTTTTTAGTATGTTCTTTTTATTGTTATATTTTTTAAAAGTAATATCTAATAGGAGATAAGTTATTACAACAAATATTGCCACTTCTATATATTTTTATAGACTTCTATTGGGGATTTAATGCACTATTCTAAGCCATCATTTGTCAGTTTAACACATTAAAGATTTTTTTTATAGTAGCTTGGAAATGTTCCTTAGAAATAATTTTAGTAGAGAATCCAGTTCTTATGCTGAGGTAAGCAATTTAACAGAATTCTTTGTTATCATTTATAATTTGTGGATTAACAAATGGACATACCTATATAAAGCCAATCTATATCTACTCTTCCTAGAAGAAATTACTGAAACATTTAAACATGTACAAATCACATTTATTTGTATAATATTATTAAAAGAAAGGTAAAGAGGACATTTGAATATTATTACTTGAATATGCACGTCTCTCTCTTTTCTTTCTTGGAGGCGGCAAAAGGGAGGGGTTAAGGGAAAGGGAGAGAATCTTAAGCAGGCTCCACATTCAGCACAGAGCCCAATGTGGGCTTAATCTCATGGTCTCATGAGCAGAAATCAAGAGTTAGGTGCTTAATTGACTGAGCCAACCATGTCCCTCAGCAAGTTTCTCTTTTTAAGGTCATTTTTAGAGATAACTATATCCATTATGAAAATGGTCTTATGCGTACAAAAGGTTTTGACTTCGTTTGGTGGGAAAACTTTGTACAATTATTAGGGTCATTTATCACTTGACAGCAAAGTAGCAGGAAAACAACCAAAATTAGTGGTTATAGCCTGTAAGCCAAACCAAATAAACAAGAGTGCAAAGAAGATAGAAATCAGTTATGACATGAAAACAGGTCACTGATAGCATAAACAGTCCTGGTACAAAGAGGCGATATGCACAGAATAGGCTGAGGACCACATGGTATAGTGAGGGTCATGTTATGAAAGGTAGGCACAGATCTACAGACATCATAATTACAGGAAAAAAAAAAACTGGGTGACATGGACAGAATCAACAGTATGATCAGAAGCCTAGTGAGGCAGAGGTAAGAAAGATCAAGGTCCCCTCGATTCTCACTTACTTGTTTTATCTAGTTTGCTAATAGGCACTTCTGAACACCTGTTCTGGGCAAAGCTCTGTCTCACATGTTAAGCTCCAGGACACTCTTCCTTGGATAGGTATCCACAAAAACAGGGTAGGGACTTTAATATTAGATAACTTAGAATTGCCTAAGCATAGACCATAGGGCATTAACCATTAATGTGATAAATAAAACATACATTGAGCTGTCTCTTATGGCTTTTCACAAGATAGCTCTCTCTGAAAGGCAATGTCATGGTGATTATGTGTAATGTACAAAGGTCCAAACTAAAACACAAGTAAATATAAGCTTGGCATTGTAAATTATATCTTTTTCTAAAGAGGTCAGCTACTTCATAATAAGTAAAAATAGCAATTAAATTTATTCCTCAAAAAATCAGCTGACTTATTTTAAAAAGGAGGAGGGGTGTTCTTAGGAAAACTTGATGTGAAGATCTCTACGTAGATTTTCCTCTTATTTCTTTGTTCCCTCATCTGAGAGAAATTTCTGCAGAAAACAATGCAGAAATAACTCTCCTAACTTTATTCACATATAAAATACTAGTAGGTGGGAAATACAATTAATTTTAATAAGAGTAAATCAAATCTTTGTAGCTGGGGTGAAATAATCTGAAGGATAATCTAAAATAGCACTTTTTAAAAGAACACAATGTTGAAAAACAAGTACTCTTTCTCAACTGTTTTTGGAAGAAATAGAGAATATTGTCAACACTCGAAGGAGAGAGGGCTAAATATGCACTATATATCAAACAGTAAATGGAAAAGCCTTTCACCATTTTGGAGGCTGAAATTTGAATGTGAGCATGTTTAAATGATTTGGCTCAATTGTATAGAATTGGTAGCTGATGCAGATAAGAATCAGAAATTTGCTTTTGCTCTGAGCTTCGGTAATTTGTAAATGCACATATATAAAATACTAATAAATTATAATTTTCCTTGTATAGATATATATGAGAGAAGCAGTTTAAAACTATATGCCTGACCCTTAAAGATAAAAAGGGGAAGCATATTTTCTAGGTTAGATATGTGAAATATGCCTAAAAATAATTCTAATCATTAATAAATTTGAATGGAGTATTTTATTATAAATAAATAAATCCAAGAAATTTTTACCTATAGAGCTGTATTGTCTAACAAGTGAGACACTAGCCACATGTGAAACCTGAAATTTGGTTAGTCTTAGTTGTTGAAATAATATTTTAGCTACGTTGGTTTAAATAAAATATAATATGAAAATTAAACTCAACTGTTTTTCCTTACTTTTTTGTTTGGTTACTGAAAATTTGAAGACTACATATTTAGCTGGTATTATATTTTAATCAAACAGTGTTGCTCTAGAGGGCCAAGCTTGATGATTATCCATAAAACACATGAAATTATTATTCTAAAGTCTAAATAGTTAAACAAGACCAGATTCTTTGGGGAAGATACTATCTCTTCACTTTAACCCCTTACTCAGGCTTACGAAATTAATTAAACTAGTCAAGTCTCTGTAAATAGAAATAGGAAATAGGATTTTAGCAAATAAAAAAAAAAAAACACAAAAGGATACATTTGCCATATTTGAAACCATTTGTATTAACAGCTCAAATGAAACTGTTAATTTTTATTTGGATGCTCTTCCTAGGTACACATTCACTGGAATCTACACCTTTGAGTCACTTATAAAAATCTTGGCAAGAGGGTTTTGCTTAGAAGATTTTACATTCCTTCGTGATCCATGGAACTGGCTGGATTTCAGTGTCATTGTGATGGCGTGAGTATTTTTGAAAAGTTGTTAAGCTCAAAGGAATGAAAACAGTTGTAGCACAAACCAAGTGGTTGTGACATATTTTAAATGCAGAGTTTGCTTATTAGCCAAATTAACTATACACCTCATATATTTTGAGAATACACATTACAATACATACAGTAAGGTAAATCTATCTGGTAAAGGAGCAATAAACAATTACTGTCATGCCATATTGTCTTCCATTTCATCAAAATGAAGTATTCATTGAGCATGATACCTCAACTATACTTTGATTTCTTACAAACCTGTTCCTATTAGTGAAAATTTCATTGAAATAAGGCAACAAAATTTTATTCCTTAAAAGCAGCTTTCAGGATATGGCACCCTGAAGTCTGTAGCAAGTCCATTTGTTAAACTCAAGGGGCTCTATACACCAAGCCCAAATTTCATTCTTTATTTAGTATAAACTTTGTAAAAACTATCAGTAACTCTGATTTAATTCTACAGGTATGTAACAGAATTTGTAAGCCTAGGCAATGTTTCAGCCCTTCGAACTTTCAGAGTCTTGAGAGCTCTGAAAACTATTTCTGTAATTCCAGGTAAGAAACTGGTATAAGAAGATAGGCTCCTTGTATCTCCAACTTTTCTTGTGTATTATTGTGTTGTGTGTGAACTCCCTATTACAGATACGTGACAGAGTTTGTGGACCTGGGCAATGTCTCAGCGCTGAGAACATTCAGAGTTCTCCGAGCACTGAAAACAATTTCAGTCATTCCAGGTGAGAGATAGGTTAAACACTGGGGCTGACTTTAAATGCACTGTAATAATATTTAGGTTCAAATCACACTTGGATCATTAGACTTGTTTATTATTCTTGTTTGTCAACTTCAAGAATGCCAAATGATGTTTCAAAGCAGTTCAGTTCCTAAAATTTTAGAAATTACACGCTTATTTGTAAAGTCAGCCTTTGAGTTTAACAGAGAATTGCATGAGTTGTCTATAAAAATACTAGTTTTGTGCACATGTGTGCACTCTCTCTCTCATGCTTTCTCTCTCTTTTTGCATTTATGATGTCAAGTTTTCTCTTCTACGATATGGAAAAAGCTTTGCTACCATGCCTTTACAAACTTAGTTGGGTTTTACCATTCACTGCAGATCTATTCTGAAAATAGATCTCCTTTTATAAAGGAGAAAAGATTATTCTTGAACAGCATGGCTTAGGATATTTAATACTTTAAATTCTTTTCTCCTCTGAATTATTGCTACTTGGAGGCTGGTGTAAGAATGGGTTGGAGGGAGGTGCCTCAAGAAACTCAATCTGAAATGAAAAATAACTGCAAGTTCTTTAGATGTTCATGACAACACATTAAACCACACACAAAAAAGCTTCCCGCCTAGATATTTACACTTCCATTTTAAATCTCCAGAAAGCATACTATTCATAAATAAAATCTGCTTTTCATCCATCTCCCAAACCATCTGGCTATCCATAAAGCTTTCGTGTCTAAATAGCCAAGCAACCATTTACAGGAAAAGATAATGTGTGTGACTAAAAAGATATTGCAGATTATGACACTCTTCTTTGGATGACCTACTTTGTCTCTCCTCAGGTTTAAAGACCATTGTAGGGGCCCTAATCCAGTCCGTGAAGAAGCTCTCCGACGTCATGATCCTGACTGTGTTCTGTCTGAGCGTGTTTGCTCTAATTGGTCTGCAGCTGTTCATGGGCAACCTGAGGAATAAATGTTTGCAATGGCCCCCAAGCGATTCTGCTTTTGAAACCAACACCACATCCTACTTTAATGGCACAATGGATTCCAATGGGATATTTGTTAATATAACAATGAGTACATTTAACTGGAAGGACTATATTGAAGATGACAGTAAGAAATATTGCTACATTGTTAACCTTAGTGTTGCTGAATGAATTTTCAACTATAAATAGCTAAGACTGTGGGCTTGAAACCATCTCTGTAAATACACTTCATTTTGTCATCCACTTTAGAAATAACTGAGATAGTCAAACTCTCATTTATTCCTAATGTCAGTAGGACAGATATGAAATGAAATAGTTTATTCTTTATATTAATAGGTCACTTTTATGTTTTGGATGGACAAAAGGACCCTCTACTCTGTGGAAATGGCTCAGATGCGGGGTAAGAAACATAATTTTTATGTTGGAACACTTTGAGAAAAATCAGATGGGAAAAATACAAGGGTATTCTTACATATATGTAATAATGATGCTACCTACTTAGGAAGTACCTTCTCTGTGTTAGAGGGCTGCTATCAGTTCTAAACTTGTGGTCACTAAAATCACCCCTCTGGGTAAGGACATTTTCTCCAGAATTTCATAGTTAAGATGTACCTGATTTTTACCCCAAAGTGTGAAGACCCATAGTCTGTCTTTTTTGTAAACTCATTAGAGCTGTTTAATAAATACAGGGAACATTTTGATTGATGTGGATATGTTCTGATATAATAAGTTTTGCTGTGGCTGGAAAAAATCCAGAATATAACATGATCTTCAGCAGTTGGGAAACTATTTTTGAGAGAGTTAGGTATTCTTGAAATAGCATGAAAACCCCGTGTGCAAAAAAGCCAAGGGATAGATATATGTCAAAGGCACATGTAGGTCTGAATCTGCATGCCTAATAGTTATTTTTGGTCACATTCTACAATAAGAGACACTTTAGTGTCTTAGTCATCCTGCTGGTCACTCATAATTAACATATTTTCCCAAGAGTATTATAAATTGATTTTAGGTCAGGGTGTAATATTTTTGGAAGCCAAGGACAGCAATAGTTGTTGACTCTTAAACCACAGAATTTACACAGAAGAATTTTGAGTCATCCTAGAAAATGGGAAACTCATGTAGCCATAAAGATCCAGGAGTATTATTGAAAATGTATATCAGTCCTGGAGATAGTGTTTTGGTGGGGGGGGATTGTTTTCCTGATATTTTCCCTAACCTTTGTTAGGAGAATGTAGTGAATAAGAGCAATAATTCTAGAGTTCATATATATCTGGATTCAAATCCCTAACTCCACCATTTACAAACTCTGACTTTAGAAAAGTGTGTTCTAAGCTCTCTTTATCTGAGTTTATTTATTTCCAAAATGTCGAGAGTAATATTATCTCTTAGGGTTGTTCTGGTGATTAATTACTTAATACACATAAGCACTTGGTTTAGCACCTGGTCCACCATAAGTGTGTATTGCATTTTAGGTATTATTTTTTATTATTAATAGTTAATCTAAAAGCCTGACAAATTTTTGGATAAGGCTGGAAGATGCATACTTTATCATTATTAAACCATAAAAATCACTTCTATTTATTGAGTACTTAGTATGGGTTAGGTGATTTACATGATAAAATTAATAGCCACTCTTGTTAAATATCAAATAAAATTCTAAAGAAATCTACCCATTTTGAAGAATTCTTACAAGTATACAGTAATCAAAACAGTATGGTACTGGGGAAGGAGAAGATAAATAGATCAATGGAAGAGAACAGACACCCCATCCCAAGAAAAGTAGACCTACACAAATGTAATCAACTAATTTTTGACAGACAAAAATTCAATTCAGTGGAGATAGGAAAGTTTTTGAACAAATCATGCTGGAGCAATTGGAAATCCATATGCAAAGAAATGAACCTAGATACAGATCTCACACCTTACACAAGAACTAACTCAAAATCAACCATAGATCTAAATGTAAAATGCAAAACCATAAAACTTGTTTAAGAAAGTAAAAAGTAAAATCTACATGACTAAGATTTGGTGATAAGTTTTAAACAACCCAATTCAGGAAAGAAAAAATTGATAAGCTGAACTTAAGTAAAGTTAAAAACTTCCGCTCTGCAGAGACACTATAAAGGGAATGAAAAAAACCCGCCATAGTTGGGAGAAAATGTTGGCAAAATATTTATCTGAAAAAAGACTTGTAGCCAGACTATACAAGGCACTCTTAAAACTCAACAACAACAAAAAACAAATAACTCAATTTAAAAATGGGCAAAAATCTGGACACCCTACAAAAGAATATATACAGATGGCTAATAAGGATATATAAAGATGCCAAACATCATTTGTCATTAGGGAGTTGAAAACTAAAACAACAATGAATTACTACTCCATACCTATTAGAATGGCTAAAATCCAAAGAAACTAGTAATACCAACTGCTGGTGAGGATGCAGAACAACAAGAATTTTCATTAAATGCTGGTGGGAATGCAAAATAGTGCAACCATTTTGGAAGGACAATTTGGCAGTTTCTTGCAAAATTAATACAGTTTAACCATATGATCCAGCAATTTGCCTACTAGATATTTAGCCAATTAACTTGAACATGCATGTGAGTATTTATAACAGTTGTATTCATAATCATAAGAAACTGGAAACAATCAAGATGTCCCACAACAGGTGAATGGATAACAGTGATGTATTCATCCAATGAAATATTATTCAGTGATAAAAAGAAAATGAGCTATCAAGCCACAAATAGACATTGATGAACCTTAAATACATATTAATACATGAAAAGAAAAGAAGCCCATCTGAACCTGTATTTGTCTGATTCAAATTACATGACATTCTGAAAAAAATAAACAGTAGAAATGATTAAAAAAAAATCAGTGTTTTTCAAGGGTTCAAGGTAGGAGGTTGACTGGGTGATGGGGGATTCTTTAGGGTGGAGAAACTTCTGTATGATTCTGTATTGATGAGCATTAAGCATTTGTCAAAACTCATAGAACTTAACAGCACAAAGAGTTAACAATGTATGCAAAAAAACAACAACAACAAAAAAAAAAAACAAGAAAACCCCACAACATTGTATGGTTGGAATATCCCCAGTTGAAATACAGAATGCAACAAAGGGATACAAAATTATTTATAATGAATAAGATAACCTTACTGAAGGAGTATGAGAATAAGTGTTGATCTAAACCACTTTGGAAATGAGTGGAGTCTATAAGGCAAAGGAAACAAACAAACAAACAAACACAACTGTACTCTAGTTGATAAAGTTTTCTTCCCATGCTAGTATGGATTAACAATCCTGAAACAACTAAGCATGTATGCTAGTATTGAACAATTAAGCATAAATAGTAGATGATAGAAGCCAGTCACTTTTGGACTAAGAAGTTACAGATAAGCAAAGGTGGGAGTCTAGAATGGTATCATGGTAATGAAATAGGGTTGGAGACAGTATGACTTCCTGTTTAGCTTAATAGAGGCACAAATATTTACATATACATACACATATTCATATACATATATACACATACTTGTTATTAGAAACCAGATCTAGGTGCTATGTTTATTGCTAAGGCAGTGTCATTGCTTCTAGGCCCTCAATTGACAAAGCAAGGAGATATATGTGTATACACATACACACACACACACTTGTCCTGGGTTCTAATACTGTTCTCCAATAAAAGAACGAGGACTTGTTGGAGAAATCACTGATTCTAGAGCAGGAAATATAAAAGATGAGTCTAAAGCATCTTGTAGTGCCACAGAGTAAGAAAGTGTTAAAAAAACAAACAAAAACAAAACACACAGAACCATGGGGTTACATCAAAGAGATACTGGAGTCAATGAAAAAGCTCCCAATGGCCAAAACTGGGACAATTTAAGCAATAAAATAAATAAAACAATTAAATTGGAATTCAAAGTATGAAATGAATATCTTAAGTACCTACTCATATAAAGAAATGATTGAATAATAGATAAATAAATAAATGAGAGATAATAGACAAATCCCCCATGCAAAAGAATTCCAAGTAATTTGTGTACATGCTCTACTCTTAAGAAGGTGGCTCATAACTCCCTGTTCCTAATAGGTGGGCTGCATATAGTGACTTTATTTCAAAGAATCCACTACGGGAAAAAAAAAGAAAGAGTAAATGTACAGTGGGAAAACCTGACAAACATTATAATCAGGTGATGAAAGTTAGTATCAACAGTGATAAGTCATATTCATCCTATGTACCCTTGATATGATGTGACAATAACGGTATTTTACCTCCCCCCAAATCCATTCCCAATCTAATTATGAGAAAAATGTCAGACAAATCCCAATTGAAAGACATTCTTCAAAATACCTGAAAATATTCCTCAAAACTATCAAGATAATAAAAAATGAGGAAAGTCTGAAAAACTTTATCAGAAGGAACCTAAAGTGACATGGTGACTAAATGTAATGTAGTATCCTGAATGGGATCTTGAAACATAATAGGATATTAAGGAAAAACTGAGGAAATCTGAACGAAGTACGGGCTTTGGTTAATAATAATATATCAGTATTGACTGAAATGTACCATACTAATATATTAACAAGAGAGGAAACTGGGCATGGAAGCAGGGCATTTATTCTGGGCCCTCTTTGTAATTTTTCTGTAAATCTCAAATTACTCTAAAATATAAGCTTTATTTTATAAAATTCTACAGAAGTGCCTACTGAAATAGCTCATTAAGTGGTTCCCTATCCTTTGTTTCGTGGTTCCCTATCCTTTGTTTCCTGGCCTTTCCTTTTTAATTATTGATTCTTGCAACTTTGTATAGAGCAGAACACTGATGATCTCAGAGGTAAAAGTATGTGTTGCTGCCTCTTTGCCATTCTAAATGTCTGCAAATCTGACTCCTTGCATCCCAGTTTTCTATTGGTTTTCCTAATAAATTTCATCTAATAACAGTATCACTGTAACCAATTACCTAAAGTGCTCTGGAAATGAACGCGAGAAAATCCATCATAGCAACCCTGTGTTTTGACAATTCCTATAAATCAACATCGATTGAAATAGCTGTAATTGCCAACCTAACACTAGCACCATTTCTCTCTCTTATAGCCAGTGTCCAGAAGGATACATCTGTGTGAAAGCTGGTCGAAACCCCAATTATGGATACACAAGCTTTGATACCTTTAGTTGGGCTTTCTTGTCCCTATTTCGACTCATGACTCAAGACTACTGGGAGAACCTTTACCAACTGGTAAGTGTCCTGTCCATTAGGGCTGTTACAACAATATACCACAGCCTGGATAGCTTATAAATAACAGAAGTGTATTGCTTACAGTTCTAGAGACTGGGAAGTTTAAGATCAAGATGCCAGCCTTGCTTCATTCTGGCAAAAGCCCCTTTTTAGTTCATAAACTGTCATCTTGCTATGCCATCACCTGCATAGAAAGGGCTAATCCCATTCATGACAGCTCCACCTTCACCATCTAATCACCTCACAAAGGCCCCACCTTCTATCATACTGGGCATTAGATTTTCAACTTAGCAATTTGGGGGAGACACAAGCATTCAGACCACAGCAGTAAGGCTCAAATTAACACATGTGAGATTTAATTTTATGAACATATATGAACCTACAAGTATCAATATTATTAATAACACTGTAGAATACAGAGGAGTGTCCAGTACAAAGCATGTATGCCTATAATCCCAACTGATCATTCAGTCAGTACTTGGTACAATAAAAACTTTTTATATGAAGGACATTCTGCTAGGAAGAATGGATGATGCCAAGATTGTTCAAGGCTTTAGTTCATAATCTATTTGTAGTTATAAAAAGAGCATGTGAAATATTTTAAAAATCAATTATATAAAAAATTTCAAGTTAAACCCATGGTTAATTGGAGCTAGGAAAATGGGAAAGAAAGATGTTGAAAGATGTAGAGAATAGGCTGCCATGGAAAGAGAACTCCATGAAAAGGAATTAAAGATAGTGTTCTTATTTGTTAATAGTGCCCCCCATTATGGACTCTAAGATTTTAGTGAGGTTTTGCATATATATATCCAACATATACTCATCTGAAAAGTGTATGTTTGTATCAAATGACACTATAGTTAAGCCTCAGATAATTTAAATATTATTTGTGTATATGTGCGTGTGCACGTGTGCACTTACATGTGTTCACTTTCATACCAAACAAATATTGGCCAAAATACAATGGATGCTAAAAAGTATTCACCTCCTCACTATCTAATTATGGAAATCAAAGGATATTATAGAAAATACTCATGAAATTTGGGGACATTATAGAAAATACTCATGAAATTATCCTTTGCTTCCCTAGACATTACGTGCTGCTGGAAAAACATACATGATATTTTTTGTCCTGGTGATTTTCTTGGGATCTTTCTATTTGGTGAATTTGATCCTGGCTGTGGTGGCCATGGCCTATGAAGAACAGAATCAGGCCACCTTGGAAGAAGCAGAACAGAAAGAGGCTGAATTTCAGCAAATGCTGGAACAACTTAAAAAGCAACAGGAAGAAGCTCAGGTACTGAGTGATAATAAGCAAAGTTTTATCAGTATTGTTATTACTACTGTAAGTTTTAAGAATATTGTTGTAGCATAGAGGTCAAACTGGAACCAGCTTTTCATTTGGTATACAAGCACTAGCATTAGAAATAAGAGAAAGCTATTCAAACCTAAAATTGTTTCTGAAGTTGAAACCAAAGGAATTTTTTGACATTATATATAAAGAAGTTACTTTGGGGTAGAAAACACATTCAGGATAAGGTGGACTATGAAAGTGTATCATGAAACCTGAGGGGAGAATCTGACATTCAGTTTAATGTGAAAAGGTTCATAACTGATATTTCCAACTACTCATGTTTCACCCCTAATTATAAAATTTAAGGTTTTATTCTGAATTTAATTTATCTCAAATATTAACAAGAAAACATTATGTATACCTATTCTTAACCACTCTTTGGGTTTTCTGCAGCATAAAAGGTATTTGCTACAGCCCCTATCAGGATATCAGGAAAGCATCTGCATTAAATGACAACTTTAAATTCTCATTAATATTGATAGGTTATTTGAACTCAGGGCATGGTGAATGGGCCATCCATGTCTTGAGGGAAGAGACAGAATAGTATCTGCTCAAAAGGAAAATAAATAAATAAGTAAATAGATGAAAGTCATGCGAAGACAGTAAAATATGATACATGGTAGTAAGAGTTTCTCTACATTTTTACCAGTACTTGGTTATGGTTAGTCTTATTAGCCATTCTACTAAGTACCTCATCATTTTATTCGGCATTTTCTTAATGACTAATGATTTTGAGCATATTTTCACGTTCTTATTTTCTATCTGTGTAGCTTCTACTGTGAAGTGGTTGTTTAAATCTTTTGCCCATTTGTTTTTTAAACTGGGCTTTTTGTTTTCTTGAGTTTCAAGCAGTCTTTATATATCCTGGGAATAAGTTCTTTAGTCCTTAATGATATATATGCTTTGCAGATATTTTCTCCTAATCCTTAACTTCTCTTTTCATTCTAATACAATTTTTAGATAAAAATTAAATCTGGATGAAGTATACTTTACCAAGTTTTTTTGTTTGTTTAGTCATGCTTTTGGTGTTGTGTCTAAGATACTTTTGCCAAATCTACATCATCAAGATTTCCTATTCTTCTTCCTAGGAGCTTTATAGTTTCATGTTTTATTCTTAGGCCAATGACCTATCTTATGCTAATTTTTGTGTAAGTTGTAATTTATATGTTGAGATTTTTTTCTTTTGCATATGGATATCTAATTATTACAGCACCATTTGTTTTTCTTGCTGTTGTTTTTCTCTTTTTTAAATTTAAATTCAATTAGTTAACATATAATGTATTATTGGTTTCAGAGGTACAGGTCAGTGATTCATCAGCCTTATATAATACCCAGTGCTCATAACATCACATGCCTTACTTAAAGTCCATCACCCAATTACCCCATCCCCCTACACCCCCTCCCCTCCAGCAACCTTCAGTCTTTTTCCTATGATTAAGAGTTTCTTATGGTTTGTCTCCCTCTCTGATTTCATCTTGTTTTATTTTTTCCTCTCTTCCCCTATGATCCTAAGTTCCACATATCAGTGAGATCATATGATAATTGTCTTTCTCTGATTGACATTTTCACAAGCATAATACCCTCTAGTTCCACCCACTTAGAAATGGCAAGATTTCTTTCTTTCTTTCTTTCTTTCTTTTTTTTTTTTTTTTTTTTTTTTGATGGCTGAGTAGTATTGCATTATATATACATACCACATTTTCTTTATCCATTCATCTGTCTATGGACATCTGGGCTCTTTCCAGAGTTTGGCTATTGTGGACATTGCTGCTATAAACATTGAGGAGCAGGTGCCCCTTCAGATCACTGCATTTGTATCTTTAGGGTAAATACCTAGTAGTGCAAATGCTGGATTGTAGGGTAGTTCTATTTCCAACTTTTTGAGGAACCTCCATACTGTTCTCCAGAGTGGCTGCACCAGCTTGCATTCTCACCAAGAGTGTAAGAGGGTTCCCCTTTCTCTGCATCCTCACCAGCATCTGTCATTTCCTGACTTGTAAATTTTAGCCATTCTGACTAGGGTAGCACCATTTGTTGAACAAAATATTCTTTCTCCACTAAATTGCCTCTGAACCTTGTCAAAAAAGTTGTCCAGGTGTGAATGAGACTATTTCTAGATTCTATTCTTTTCAATTGATTTGTTTCTCTTTACAGGAATACACATTCTCTTTATTACTGTAGCTGTTTAATAAATCCTGAAATCAGATATTATAGCTCTCCAATTTTTTTTTCCCAAAGCTGTTTTAACTATTCTAAGTCCTTTGCAGCTTCATGGGACTTCTGGAGTCACCTTGTCAATATCAGTTCCATTAGTTTCCATTGCTATGTCTTCAAGTTTCCCATGTTTTCTTCTGTAGTGTCTGCTATACCACTAATCCCATAAAGTGCATTTTTCATCTCAGTTTTTGTAATTTTCATCTCTAAAACCTTTACCTATATCTCTTTTATATTCCCCATGACTCTAATATTTTGAACATACACAATATAGTAACTATTTAAAGTCCTTAAAGTCGTTTTCTTCTAATTCTAACATCTGTGTCAGATCTTGATCAGTTTTAAATTTTTTCTTCATTAATGGTCATATGTTCCTGATCTTTCTTTCTTTTTTCTTCTTTTTCTTCTTCTTCTTCTTCTTCTTCTTCTTCTTCTTCTTCTTCTTCTTCTCCTTCTTCTTTCATTCCTGACAATTTTCAGTTGAATTCCAGACACTGTTAATTTTACCTTTTTGGAGTGCTGGATATGTTTGTCTTCCTATAAAGATTCTTGATCCTTATTTGGGGACATTAGTTACATTACTTAAAAACAGCTTGATCCTTTTCCATCTTGAAACCTTTGAAGATTTGTTAGGTAGGACTTGTAGAGCATCTAGTCTAAGGCTCACTGTTCCCTACCACTGAGTGAAGATGCTTTTGAACACTCTACCCAGTGCCCCATTAATGATGTGTCTTCAAAACCAGTGTTACATACATTTTGTCCATTTTAGTGGTTGTTTCAAGATGGAGAGCAAATCTATCTTAGCCAGAAGCAGTAGTCCAAATAACTTTTGTACATAGTGACTTTTTGATAGTGATTTTTTTTCAGATAGACAGGTCATTTAAAGCATTATTTGAATTACAGTAGATTTGTAGATTCAATGGGTAGAGTTAAAATTTAAGTTTTTAATAATTCTGAGTTACCCTTAAGATGCACACCATATAGTATTAAGTCCTTTTTTTTCTGAGGCATTTTTTGGTGAGACAGGGATTTGACAATGAATTGTTTAGCTGGTTACACAGTCCAACCATATTCTTGGCATTTGTTAAACATACTGGCTTTGCTATTTTCATCTTACCACCGGGTACAGAGTAGTATCATGGTTATAGTTTAGTGATTTTACAAGGAAAGCTTTAAATATGTTTGGTGATACTTAAAAACCTCATAAAATATACCTCATGCTTGGCAGAAAGTTCTACTATATTTCAAGTACTTAAAAGTTTATTTCAGATCACTATAAATAAAACACATTTGTAAGATAATGAAGTACATTAGCTATTTACAGGACTAATTATTTCAAAGTTTTAAATAAATATAGGAAATAATATTTGTAGGTTGTATATAAATGTATTTTAAAGCATTGGATTATTCTATTATCAATTATAAAAAGAAACAACAATGTGCTTGAAAAATACTATAGTACAGGAGTAGGAATACATTCTGAAATTCAGCCACTTTAGGGTAAAATATAGCATCAATTAAAAGAGTAGAAGATTTTAAATTTAGAAGTAAAAGTGCACAATGTCTATTAGAAGTTTAAAGAATCTAATTATCTATATCCTAATTAGGTCAACTAAAAAATGTGCATTCTTTTCACTTAAAAGTCAATTATTGGATTCCAGTGATCAAATCATGATTTGGCTCAGCTTTAGCTTCCTATGTACAAAAATTTATGCTGATCCTAGAGTGACTGATCCCAGTGTTTTAATTTGGACTGAGATGACACAATACCAATCCAATTTTACCTCCTTACTGAGAACACAGATAACAATGCCCAGTAAGTAACCAATATTGAAACAGAGGAAGGTGTTGGAAGCAGACAGAGAAGGAGATGTAATCTACCCACGAGATCATCGGTGCTCCACCATAACTTCCATCTTACTAACCACCTGTCACTCTTCAAAGGTACCATCTAGCCAATGACTTCATGAAGCCTAGCATCACTTCCATTTTCATTTAGTATCTGTTGAAGGGCCTCCTAAAGCTAGTCATTGTTTAGACATGAAAAAGTAACAGTAAGCTCAGTGAACTCACAAGTCAAGTGTAACTTTAAAGGATGACTGAAGACAAAACCCAACAACAAAAAAAAATGTTTTATACTGAATCATCATAACCGTGTTTTGCATTTAATTTGTGATCTTTAATTTGTTAATGGGGCCTAACACAACATATCCCATAGCAGTTTATATAGGTCTGATAGGAAGAATTTTATAGTAAGCTTTGGGACAAAATTAGAAATATTGGCATTTAAGAGAGCCAATATAATTAGAAGTAAAACTGAAACAGGTATTATAGTTAATGTCTTGTAATTTTGAACAGGTTTGTTAAACTGGATTTATGTTTAAAGTGAAGTATAATTAGAAGCAGTCATGTGGATTTATTTCTTAAGGATACACACATACAGTGAGTTATAGAACTTATGTTGAATCACACAGAAGTGTTATAAGGAGAACTAAATGTTACTCCTTGAGTAAATATTAAGCATATATTTGTTATTTGTTATGAGAGGAATTCATCAAGAGGCATCTGGGTGGCTTGGTTAGTTAAGGGTCTGCCTTCAGCTTAGGTCACAGTCCCAGGGTCCTGAGATCAAGCCCCGCATTGAGCTCCCTGCTCAGTGGGGAGTCTGCTTCTCCCTCTCCCTCTGCTGCTCCCCCTGCTCATGCTCTCCCTCTGTCACATAAATAATTTTTTTTTAAAAAAAGAGCAATTCATCAAGCCAGTGAAAGCAATACTCTTAGTCTAAGTAAGCAGAACATTGGTCTTGTCACAGAGATGGGTAGAAGCAGGTACAGACATAAGAGGTGACAGGAAACATCTGCCTTTGAGGGAATTGGCAAATCACTGGCAGTGGAACAAGTGACAGATTGAGTTGATATGTGACACAGAAAATGTGTTGTGTCGGGAGGTTACCATTGTTGCCTTAGAAATGCTTTAGTTCTGAGTTATTTGAACTGTTATCCAAAATAGGTAGGGAAATCACGTCTTATGCAAAACAAATTCCGGAAGTGATTTAAATGAACAAGAGTTTCAGGATTACGGCAAAGGAATATTACCACCACTTCCTTTGTTTCTAACTAGAAACAAGTCAATAAATGACTAACACTATGCATTGCACTGTGTTACTGTGTATACAAAGTGGAAAGAAGAATTAAGAACTTTATTTGGATAAAAATAAATATATGTATATTCATTCTTTCAATAAGTGCTATATATTATGTATTTTTTATGTATTAAGTACTAAGCAACTATATTTAACTTGCTACAAATAAGTGCCTCATTTATTCACTTTATTTTATATATATTTACATTAGCCTCATTTGACAAAAGGCCTTGAATCTTTATCTTCCATTACTGACATTAAAAATGATATTAACAATCAAGAGTTCAATAAAAAATCTGGTTATATGACTGTATGTAATTCCATAAATACCCAAATTCTGAATTACTGTTCCATTTAATTGCTAGGCATAGTCCTATACTGAGTCTTAAATTGAATATAGTATTCAATATGAACAAATATCCATTTTACGTTTTATGTACATTTTACATTGCTTAGCCCAATACACATATTTATTACTTATGTAGTACTATGGTTCCCATCTCTGGGATCACAATAATCTTAGAGAATTTGTATTTATAGTACCTTTAGTCTAAACCTTTTTTTTTTTTCTTTGTAATTGTAGTTGAGATGAGATTCAGAAATGGAAGCTACTGTGGAGGGTTTGCTTCTCCTCAGGAAGAAAAAAACAAAAAGCATGTGTTGTCAAGCTCATTATATATAGTTTTATCTTCTTTCCTAAAATGTTTCTGTTATACAGACCATTCTGACATAGAGTCTTTTATGAAACCTTGAAAATTCAAGTCTATATAGGTCTTCTTCTTCCCCAACGCCATCCCAGTGTTTGAGACAATTGACAGCATAATGCCTTTTTCATTTTTATTCACTAAACATTCACTGGACACTTTTCATGTCAGGTGACATACTAGACAATATGTACAAACCCATTTGACAAAATTCCTACCTAGCATACATCTAGTGGAGAAAATAAAACAAAGTGGGTAGATAAATTAGAGCTGTCTGTATTTAGTAATGACATATGTAAAGAGTTGAAACAGTATTCTCATAATTAATTCATTTCCACTTCCATGATTATATTTAAAAACAGGAATATGCTTAATGAGAACTCAGCTTTGATAGGAATTATATCACTGCTTCATATCCTCTAGTCATGGTTAGATCACTTCCAGTCTAAAAATACTATTCATTACAAAACAATCTGCCGTGTTTCACCTTAGAGATGGTTGTTTCTTCAGTATATACAAAAATTCAAAATGATAAAATATACTTAGTGCTGAAACATAAAAAGAAAACATTTAAAGAAAATCTCATAATCCCTTAAATGATTATTTCAAGTACTTATTGATTGATATGTTAATCATTTGTTATTTTAATAATAATAGATATTTTGTAAACATTAAAAAATTAAAGCTAAACATGCAATGTAATAAATTAATCATGTTCATCTCTGGGATTAACATAACCCCAGGGATGTGAATGACAATACTAAGAGAATTCAAATGGAAGTAGAGGTCAAATGAGCCAATATATTCCCACTACTTCTATCTACTGGTAAAATAGTAAACACTTTAAATTCTTTGAGTTCACAAAAAGGGAAAAGAGAAAGTCTTAGACCTAGATTTAGAAGGAAAAAAATACCACTCAGTTGTTAGGATGGAATTGGAACAGTAATCAGACCAGCAACCACCACTAAGAGAACATTTGTTTTTAAAATGTAGAAGATATTTTTAAGAGAGCAACTTTTCTTGAAAATGAAGCTAATCTCAAAAGAGTTGTTTTTTTTTAAGCCTCTCCAAGAGATGTGCTAAACCAGACTTTTCTTGCCTTAATGCATAGGTTAACATATTGCTTTATACTGTTTTAAATTGTCATTATTAAGTAAACTCTCTAAGACACAATGAAGTGACCAGAAGGCACAATGTTTACCTATTGTTCACAGTCTTAATGACAACATTTGTACCACAGTTGACTGTTTCTAAAAGGACTTGGTGTAAACAGTGCCTGGCTTTGTCTTAAACAGGCAGTTGCAGCAGCATCAGCTGCTTCAAGAGATTTCAGTGGAATAGGTGGGTTAGGAGAGCTCCTGGAAAGTTCTTCAGAAGCATCAAAGTTAAGTTCTAAAAGCGCTAAGGAGTGGAGGAACCGAAGGAAGAAAAGACGACAAAGGGAGCATTTTGAAGGAAACAACAAAGGAGAGGGAGACAGGTTTCCCAAATCTGAATCTGAGGACAGTGTCAAAAGAAGAAGCTTCCTTTTCTCCATGGATGGAAACCGACTGACTAGTGACAAGAAATTCTACTCCCCTCATCAGGTATGGTTTTCTTCAAAGAGCTCCAGTTTGTTCTGTCATTGCTATTGCTTTGTAATTACTGTATATTGTTTTGGTATATTTTTATAATATCTGATATAAATGAAGGACGGGGAACTATCATTTAACATGATTCTTTAATTTGTATCATAAGCTGTCTTTAAAAGAGACTTTTAAACCATTAATAACTTTTAAGGCAATCAGCTTTAAACAACACTATTTTGAGACCATGTTTCTTAATTTTCAGTTTTTGGGGGGTGAGAGGAGTAAAACTTAGCTATTGGAACTCAGTGAGAGTTTTGCAATCTCCTGTTTACCTTTTTCATTTTGAGACCTCAAATGAACTTAGTATCTCTGCATATGGGTGTCTGCCTTTATTGTCTGAGTTGTAATTGCCACATATGCATGAATTAAAAAAAAAATCTCTGGATTTTGCCTTGATCTTTTGATATGTGAACCATGCTGTCATAAGTCTCCATTATGCTGACATGGTGTCACGCTAAGAGACATCAGAATGAAATGATGACCTAAATGCTCTTGGAAGAGACCTAAACTGAACACAGTCTATTTTTGCTCTGACTTAATGCCAACTACATAGTTCTTCAGCATATTTTCAAGTCAAAGAGGGAAAGGAGTTTTGTTTGTTAATACATTTTATGGGTTACATAATGTAAAGAATAAATAATTATGAACTCTGTGATAAGTAAAGTTTTGACTTTGAACACTATTTGTTTCCACTAGAATTTCATGTGCTATGAATTATTAACTCTTCTAATCATATTAATCTGGGTCAGAATTATACCCTAAAAATAATGCTTTGAGGGATACTATATAATTAAGATAAAGCAAAAAACTATATATCAACCAAGAGGTATGATATCCTTCTTATAAAGAACAAAAATCTTTTTAAAAATTGGAGTGATAAGCACAAATTCAGCATAGTGTTTAGCTCTTGGTTAGGAGGAAGGAGCATATGAAAGGTATCAATGAGTGTTTATCATTTGTATTGAATATGTAAATAAAATTTTAAAAAATAAACAAACACATTAATAACTTGAATTCTCATAGTAGGACAAAATAGATGTGTACACATGAGAAGTTGAAAGATAAAAACCATTTTCCTCCAGATAATGCCAATATCAAAAGGTCCGATTATTATCTTGCATAAAACAAATATAAAGTATGGTTTAAATAAATACAACACATTTTGGATTAACTGGAAGCTCTACTGGGCAAGTTAGTTTCTTTGACCAGATTTTTTTGTCACCTTGATTTTAGCATTATTAGGACTATAAGAGTCATTAGGATTAAGAGTATTTGACATTATACCATAATGACTGACATCATAGAAGCTTGTGTTCATATCTCAACTCCCAAGTGAGTTCTGTGACCCTACTCAAGTGACTTGTATTTTTGTAAGATTTCTGTCATAGGGGTAATAATGTCTACCTTAAAGAGTTGTGAAAGATTAAGCAATATATAGAAACCTTATATGACAAATAGTAAAGCTCTTATTAAGTTAAAATTGATGAATGATTCCAGATGAGGGAAACTAAAAACTTTTGAATAGTTGCAATTACCACAAAGGTGTATGCACAGTAGCAATATTTACATAAGCATATTTATAAGCTTATATTTTTGCATATTTTGCAAATTTAAGCATATTTTTTAAAACAGTACTGTTTCCATCCTTGTTTCATTACCACGCTCAAATAGAAATTGGATTAGTTCATTCAGCCAATCAACAAATATTTAATGAACACCTACTATGTGGCAGAAGTATTCTAGAAAATGAAAATACTCTGTGAGCCAAAGAAGGATACAATTCACCGACCTCATGGAAATTTATACTAAAGAAGAAAACAGACAATAAATAAGATAAATAAGTTACAGACTATGTTAGAGGGTGATAAGTGCTATGGGAAAAAATAAGCAAATCATGAAAAGGGAATCAGGAGCACTAAGTGGATGTAAAAATTTTAAATAGGGTGGTTTGGGAAGTCTTCACTGTAAAGGAGACATTTAAGCAAAGATTTGTAAGGAGGCAAAGGAAGAGATTATCTCATTGAAGAGTATCCCAGACTCATGGAAGAGCCAAATGTAAGGCCCCGGCAAAGCAGTATGCCTGGAATGCTGAAGGAGCAGCTGGGAGGCCTGTGTTGAGTGAACCACAGAGAGAGCAGAGAGAAATTAGGTGGCAGATACAGTTTTAATACTAAAAACAGAATCAGTATATACATATGTTATATGTAGTTCATTTTACAGTATTTGTAGATAGATAAGAGGTAGGTAGATAAATGGAGAGATACACAGATATAGAAGATATTTCAAAAGTAAAAGAAAGATCCTATGAACACCGATACTTACAAATCCCAATAAAGACAGGGAGCATTAACACAACTCACAAGCAAATATATACCAGAAGCAGTGTACGATTTCTGGCTATATAAACAAAAAAGTGTTCTGTGATAGTAAAGAGAATCAATGAAGGTAGCATAGGAACAGGAAGCATAAGATGGACATGGCATGCATTTAAAACAAATTTATCTTCTGAAAATGTCAAGGCCACAAATTATGGGAATGCTGCCCTCTACTAACATAAATTTTTGAATGTTGTTTTACATTTACTTTATTATTTTATCTTCAAATAGATAAATCATGTTCATAGTACAGCATGGAAATGTACTTAAGGGTGTACAATGCAAAGTGAATCTCCTCCAAAGATTTTAGCTATGTTGTTTGGACACACCGAGACAATTTATTTTAAACCAGAAGGTTTGCTGCTATAACCAGTTATAGTTGTTGATTTATTGAAAACTCTGATAGGTACAGACAGTTAACTTGAAATTCTATTAAGTATTTCCACTAGAACATCTTTACATTCTCTGCATCATCTTCCATCTGGATTCTTCCCAACTGACTTCAAGTTCAATCCCTACATGCAGGACTGTGTATTACAGGCCTAATTACTTCTATTTTCTTTTTTGTTAATGAAAATTATAAGAGAGAAAGTTCATATTTACTTTCTCAGAACAAGGCAAAACATAAAAAATAAAGATACCTGGGATTCATGTTTTGCCATGCCTGAGGCAAAGAAAAATGGCCTTTTGGTCCTTAGAGCATAAAAGCTTGTTTTCCTTAGAGAAAGGGCTGCCACAGCTGTGGGTATTTCCTCTACTTTGCTGCATCTTCTAGTGTGTTATTTTTGGTTTATTTTCTCTGAATACTATTTTTGTTATCTTCTTTTTTGGTCTCTGTTGCCTTGAAAGCTGTGCTCATACCCATTATTATACTTTCCAAAGAGTGAACAGAAGTTTCAAATAAACTTAAAATTCTGGAACGCCTTTGAAAACACCCCAACATAAAAACATTCAAATTAAAGGCACGTACCAGATACATTATAAACACGCACATACACCGTATACTCTCAACCAATATCATACAGACTGATTTTCAGTTTCCAAAGATAGTCGCTGAACATATGCATATTAAGATGATTACACTGAATCATCCTAGGGGTTAATGCAAGACAAAGTTAGGATTCTTCTAGTACCTGCATTAGAATCACCTGGAATGTGTATTGAATATTTAGATTCCAGAGTCCTATCCCCTACTTATTAAATCCCAAGTAAAAAACAACAACAACAACAAAAAAACCCTGAGACTAAAAATACACACTAAAGTTTTGAAACACAAGTCTGATAGTAGCCAGTATTATACTGATAATTGATAAAATTGAGTCTAAGGAGAGTAAAACATTACCATTCTTTATTACTGGGGGTTGAGTTTAAGTCTTCATGATATCTGATTTCTTGATCACTTTGATTAACTAGAAAATCAGTCTAACTACTCTCTGACATTGGGTAGCCAACTGTGTGCAAACTGAGTGTCAGAAAGGCATAGTCTCAGGTTGGACAAGCTGGATAACAAATAATAGTTCCTGTGGATATTTTAACTAAGACCAAAACAAGAGCACATTTCTTAATGAGTAATATCTTTCCAGAACATCACTATGACAGAGGGCAACAACGATTATTCTGATCCTTTGCAGTCTTGGAAAAGCCATAAAAATAAAGCTAAAAATGGGGCCTAAGAAAATCAGCATGACCTAATTAGGCAGAGGATCCAAAAATAAATTTGATGGAGTCTGTCTTTTCTATGTTTTTTTCCCCACTAAAATCATTTTATTTGGCTTTATATACTGACTTTTGGAAGAAGAATGGGAAGGTACAGGAATATTTGCTGTGGTCATATGGATATGTCTGCATATGTGTGTGTACATATATATACATATATAGGTATATATACATACACGCATACATATATATAAAACCCTGGCTATGAAGACAGGTGGGGGAGGTCACGAGAGTCCAAGCAGGGGGCGCAATGGGGACTGTCATTGTTAAGAAAGAGGACAGTAAACAAAGATTCCACAGACTGAATAGAGATATTTTTGAAAACTATGACCAAGGCTAGAATAGAGATATTTGGTGCTGCTGGTTTAAAATTCATCCAAAAGGTGAAAGAATGGATTTCATGTTATATCTTCATTTTCTAGTACCAGAAACCATTTGCTCAATTTATTTGTGAACTCATGTAATAAAAAAGTTCTGAATCATCCAGTTCCTTCTAATAAAATTAAAGTGAGATCAGAAGGATAAGCTGTCTTCTACATCACCCTCTTTGGTAAAGTCATGTACATACGTCTTGCTTTTTTAATCTAGTGTTGAATTTTAAGTAATAATAGCAACTTATATGGCACTTCAGGAATTCTCTCTGTTGTGTTTGTTAGTACATATATTCTCTTAAGGTGAATCACTAGTAGCTATTTGGGAAACTATTAGCAAATTCAGAAGACAGCATCATAGGTAAGTTTCATAACTTTTATTCCCACGTGGACAGAGACAAACAGATTCAGAAAAAGAGTAAACTAATTTCCTTTTAGAACTCAAAAGAAGAGAATAAGAGATAACAGTTTTGTTTTTAAGTCAATATCTAGAAGTAACACATTTGATACAATATTTTAAATTTGAGCCAACACTCTCTCTTGAGGCATAATTTATATTCCAAGTTGCATGCCCTTCAGATCATAGCAACTCTTAGTAAAAGCCATCTACTATTTGTTTAACCACCACTTCCTCCAAAAAGAATCATTTGTCCTTTCCAGCATCATGTTCGGACCGGTAACATAATGGTAACAAAATCCACCTCACAGTATTAGAGTTAAGATCAAAAATGAAATGGTTGTGCACTTAGCAAATTGCAAATTAGGATTCCTAATCAGAAAAGAAAAAACAAAACAAAACAAAAAAACTCTTTATACTTAAACTTGTATTGTGATCTTTAATAAAAATATCAAAACATATGTGTTCTCTATAAACCTGATTTATATATTTTAAGAGCATAAATAAGAACTATTTATATAGTTTAAAAGCAAGACTATTCTAATCCAAATGCAAATCGATTCTGCAATATTAAGACTTTGGTTAAGTAACTGTGTTTCTGTCCCCCTCCCCTGACCCCGCAATTCCTTTCTTCCTTGCTCTCTCCACAGTCTCTGTTAAGTATCCGTGGCTCCCTGTTTTCCCCACGACGCAATAGCAAAACAAGCATTTTCAGCTTCAGAGGACGAGCAAAGGACGTCGGTTCTGAAAATGACTTTGCTGATGATGAGCACAGTACATTTGAAGACAGCGAGAGCAGGAGAGACTCACTGTTTGTGCCGCACAGACATGGAGAGCGACGCAACAGTAACGTTAGTCAGGCCAGTATGTCATCCAGGATGGTGCCAGGGCTTCCAGCAAATGGGAAGATGCACAGCACTGTGGATTGCAATGGTGTGGTTTCCTTGGTGGGTGGACCGTCAGCTCTAACCTCACCTACTGGACAACTTCTGCCAGAGGTGATAATAGATAAGTTAGCTATGACATTACACACCAATTTGAAATATCAAAGCCTGGGCGATTTAGCCTGTTATACCACCCTGCTTCCCCAAAATGAAATGTCTCAAAAATAATATACAATTTATTGAGTGAAAAACAACAAATCTTTAAAACCAACTGAATCGTATGGGACCATTAGCTTTCAAATGCCTTAGAGTTTTTAGAGTCTGAGAGAAAACATACCTGCAAATTCAGTAAACCTACCAATACAAAATAATGGGCACTGTGACAACTAAATTGTTATTATAAATGTATGCTCACATAGAATTATATAATTATTCATACTCTGTAAATTTAATATACTTAAAATTTAGTATTATCATGACCAATATATGGGTAATAGGCAGTTTCCACACAAATATCAGTATTATATGCTAAAATGTTTTTATATGTATTAAAATGACTCTAAAATGTCTTGATTTCTTGTAGGATGGCATATAGAAATAATCAAAGAAATCTCAGGAAAGCACACACATTTCATTGTACATCTGTGTTTGTGCATGGAAAAAAATTGGCCCATATATGTCTGTATTGTCAGTACAGCTTCAAAGAAAACACTCAAGCCTTGCAACATTATAACCCTATTATTTTGGGGGGGAGAAGATTGATCTGATTATTAATCATTGTGATAAGCTGAAAATAATCTGCATTTGAGTGAAATGAAACAATATATGACTTTAGCATGCTTATGAAAATTTCTCTGAAAATTCCAACAGGTTAATTAAAACATTCCTGCAACAAACTTGCCCTGTACAATTGCATCTAACTGGTGAATTCTTGTTACACACTATCACCTGTGATAATTTTTCAAAAGGGTTTATAACTTAATAAACGCAATATATTATTATTACTTGAAAGTTATTACCTGGAAAAACTGCATGTAGCATGATTTTCCAAAGAAATGCTATGTGTTATTGTATTATTCATTGAAAGGGTGGTTTGAACCATTAGTATTTGGTTTGCAGGGCACCACCACTGAAACAGAAGTCAGAAAGAGAAGGCTAAGTTCTTACCAGATTTCAATGGAGATGCTGGAGGATTCCTCTGGAAGGCAAAGAGCCATGAGCATAGCTAGCATCCTAACCAACACAATGGAAGGTAAGAAGCAAGACATGAGATAGTCAGCTTTACATGATTATATATGCTTTGTGGAACTATTTATTTGTCTCATAGAATTATCAAAGTCAACTACCCAAGATCAGAATGGTGGAACAGACCTAGGTAGATGATACACAAAATATAGTGTTATCACACTGGTTACAAAAACTAATACTGTTCCTTTTTCTTTTAAACTCCTTATCTTGTCTGCACAGTGGTAGTCCCCCACTCCATATTATGTCAGTGAGTTTTTATCATTATGTTACATTATCCTTAAACAATCAGAATATACATTTCCCTTCTTAAGTTTTGTATGTAAAAGCGCAGGAAACATCTCTTTCAAGCTTTAGTCTGTTCTCTGGGCCATGAGGTAGTGATATGGTAGGGGGAGACATGTGAATAAACTGAACAAATGAAAACTTGTGTTCAACACTGACCCTAAGAAAAGACCTCTTCTCCATCTTCCACATACCCAGAAAACATTACATTCCTCCAAAGGAGAGCTTAAACAAATGCTTGTTGATTTTGACACATGGGAATGGGCAGCAACTATTATATTATTCCCCTGTTCATTCATTAAATAATTCTCCACTTCATAAAGTTTGGAGGATATTTCATTAGTTCTGCAATCTTATAAGTCTTTTATATAAGTAATATTTAACATGTGGTCTTCAGAAAATATCACTAACATTTTGCATCTTGTCCTATTGGTGTGTATGATATCTGAACAGTCACGTAATAATTATAACAAGTTTCACCTACTAAAATTACTAGCAACTTTTAAAAATATTTTATGTTAAAATTCTGAAAGATATGGGTAATATGAATAACATAAGTAGATATGGGTTTGAATCTATACTAAAAAAGGACATACCACATACTCATTGTGTGCAAGATTAATGTTGATGGGGAGACAATCAGAAGAGAGCATTGGTCCCACACATTAATAATAAGGATCACAGCTTTAGACAGCATTCTTAAATAGACACTTTCAACAGAAATAATAAGTGTTTGATACTTTTAATATTTCTATAAGGCTTATTTAAAAATTGTTTTGGGACACCTAGGTAGCTCAGTTGGTTAAGCATCTGCCTTCAGCTTGGGTCATGATCTCAGGATCCTAGGACCCAGCCCAGCATTTGGCTCTCTGCTCAGCAGCGAGTCTGCTTCTCCCTCTCTCTCTCAAACTAATAAAATTAAAAAAAAATAAAAATAAAAATTATTTTGATAAAAAGAATATGGCAATATAATCAATAATTACCTAGTTATTAGGTAATAAATTTAGTTAATTTGAAGCAAAATTACATTGATGGTGTTTATTTTCTATATTTAATTAAAGGAGAAAGATGTTTATATGTTTATATGAAATTTTAATGAATATTTTGTGAAAATATCTAATGGGATTGCCTTCTCAAGTGTTAAGCTACTTAAGTAATACGAACGTCCATCCCCAGGTAGAAGCACTGATTTTACAAAACAATGTATAATCTATAGCAACAACAATTCATTTTTATTGTTATTTACTATTCTTCCTCTTTATTATTCCCCTAGAACTTGAAGAATCTAGACAGAAATGTCCACCATGCTGGTACAGATTTGCCAATGTGTTTTTGATCTGGGACTGCTGTGATGCATGGTTAAAAGTAAAGCATCTTGTGAATTTAATTGTTATGGATCCATTTGTTGATCTAGCCATCACTATTTGCATTGTCTTAAATACCCTCTTTATGGCCATGGAGCACTACCCAATGACCGGTCAATTCAGTAGTGTATTGACCGTAGGAAACTTGGTAAGTTCATTTAAAGTTTACTTATTTCCTTTGGTAGGAGTGGGAGATATAGACCAGAGGAAAAAATCCATTTATGCTATGTAGGGAATCTGAGCAATAAGATCTAAAATTCAACGTGTGGGGGCAACTGGGTGGCTCAGTAGTTAAGCATCTGCCTTCTGCTCAGGTCATGATCCCAGGGTCTGGGATTGGGCTCCCTGCTCAGCAGGAAGGCTGCTTCTCCTTCTCACACTCTCCCTGCTTGTGTTCCCTCTCTCCCTGTGTCTCTCTCTCCCTGTCAAATAAATAAATAAAATCTTTTTTAAAATAATAAATAAATAAGATTCAACTGGTATGAATGCTGATTGCTCAAACCAATGTCCGTGCTAATTGACCATGGTGTCTTACCAGTTGCAAGCTCATTAAAATTTTTACCATCATTCTTGCTGAAATATAGGTCCAGAAAAATCATAATCTAATTCTGGCTAAAAATACAGTTTTAATATACACAGCCTCTGAAGAAATCATGTCCACTGAAGGAAATATATAAAGATTTATTTCTGTTAAAAGAGGAGAGTTGTTTCAAACTGAATTACTTAATAAAATCCTTCAGTAGAATTCACACAAGAGAAGAAAGAGTTGGTGAAAATGAATTTGTAATTTAGCCATAGTTTTGGTTCAAATTATTTGGGCAGGCATCTATGTAGGTGTATGTGGACATGTACATTTCCTCCTTTATATGAGAAAATTGAAATGGATAAACAAGTAAGAGAAGGATTACTCGAGAGCTTCCTTTTTGGCACAAGACAGAAACAAACTCAAACTAGCTTAAGGGAAAATTAAAAACTGACTCCTAGAATGGAAAGAAAAAGATGAACTACAAAACCATATAAAAGGTAATTTTGCAGTTGGGCTTCAGGAAATGCTTTAACCAAGAGCTTGGAAGTAGGCCAAATGTTCACTTCATCTTCTGTCTCTGGGTCAGGAAATATGCTCAGCCATAGCTCATTGGTTTTACATCTTGTAACCTCTGCACTGGAAAAAAACTGTCTCTTTTTCAGTTCTAGTTCAAACACTCACAATAGGACTCTTGTTTGGCACAGCTTAGGTCAGATACCCACCTCTGGTTTAATCAGGGGCAGAAGGTAGAGCCATGTGAAAACATGACAGACTTGAGCAATCATACAGGTGGAGGAACAATTCCCAAGAAAAGCTGAAAAGGGAATACTGGGCAGACAATTACATAAATGTCTACCTAGTAAGTGACCTCAACGTTACTCCATTGTTTGACTTAGTAGAACACCTACCAGATTCTTGGGATTTTCTTCGTCTTTGGCACCTGTGAATGGATTTTTTTAATGATTCTTCACTGATCTTTCCAATCACTCCATGTCTGCCTTCTTTTCTGGACTTCTTATGTCTACTAAGGCTAGTACTCAACGTTTTTATATACTCAGCAACTATAGGAATTATCTACTCTTGTGGTATAAGCTGTGCCCTGGTCCTATATTTCCAACTGTTACAGAACATGGTTTAAGGATAACTTTAATCAGCAACTGTAGGAATTATCTACTCTTGTGGTATAAGCTATGCCCTGGTCCTATATTTCCAACTGTTACAGAACATGGTTTAAGGATAACTTTAAACACAACATGTGACAGCTGTAAGATCATCTTTCTCACAGCTTATTGAAAGTCCTAACTCAGTTCAGTCTTGTGTTACCTCTAGTAGCAGCCTTCCAGCTTCAAAGAGCCTTTCAACTTCAAAGATAGAAATCTGATAGCCATTTTTACTTACTTTTCCTTTATTTTTTATATACAAGTTGATAGAAGACCCATTATTTCTTCTTTCGAGGTACCTCTTTTTTAGTCTTATAACTACAATTAAAATAATATTTTTAACACTCTGCACTCAATAGATTTGCACTGTGCTGAAGTATTTATTATCTGTATTTATGGTTCAACAGTCCTATCTGATTTTTAAGACTCCCCATCTGATCCCATCCTTCTATACCATCTTATTGTCCATTGTTTCCTAACCAGCCACTATTGGCCCATCAGAACAGCCATGTCACTGTACCACATAAACACCACATATTTATATATTTACATATGGGAAAATATTCACTATTTTCTACATTCTCATCTAGAGTGTTCTGACTCAAATCCCCTCAATTCTTCAAGGTTATGTCCATTTTTGCTTTGTATCTCTTACAGTGATTACATGGTTGTAGCTCAATAAACAACCAACTGGTTGTTTCCTACCCATATGGGCTGCTTAAAATAGCATGTTTTCATGAAAGAATATGGGTTTTGGAGTCAGGTGTAACTGGATTTGGCTTCATTGCCAATGCTTACTAATAATGTAGCATCTGGACAAGTCTGATAAAAAATCTGAGTCCTTGTTTTCTGTTTTGAAATGGATATAATGATACCCATCTCCCAGAGTTGTTGTGAAGGCCAAATGAGGTAATGTGAAAACAATACTGAGCCTGGCATCTAGCATGTGCTCAATAAACTATTTCCTTCCTCTAATATATGCTATTAACCTTTCTCTGAAATACTGATGGAAAACAGTTCTTCTCTAGCTCCTGTATTTTTCCCAAGATACTGTACAGTTAGGGAAGTTGAATAGTTGGGAAGAAATTTTGGAAATTTGCCAGAGTGAAGCAGGAAATTGAGGTTTTATAGAATTCCAATGTTGAAACACAAGAGTTTGGAAGCACAGGATAAGAGAGGTTGGATTATAGGAAAATCAAATGGAAAAGCACTAGACTAAAGCACCAAATCTGGGTTTAAGTCCTATAGTCCATGCTAAATAACTGGGTGCTCTTGAAAAAGCCATTTAGATCTTCGTTCTGTTTTCCAATGAGTAGAATATATTGAACAAGATGATTTTTTATGTCCATTCCAGTTCCAAAATTCTGTAACTTAATGTGTAGCAATGGAGATAATGAAGTACAGAAGCAGGATGGAAGACTGGTGACTGACAGATTATGGTAAAACCACTGATATGCTGAGGTTAGCAATGGGGATACAAGGCTCATCAAGATAAAGAGTGCACATGATAGGAAACAGACCTGAGTTAACTATTTCTAACCGTAAAAGTAGGAAAATGTGTAAACTGTTTCTATTAGCTGAAAGCTCCTGTTATTATTAATAATAATATCATACATATAAGGCATTTCATAGTTTCCCATTTATCTTATTTTATATCCATAACAAGCTTTATCATAAATATCAATGTATAGAAAATTTTATCTATGTTTAATTATACATTAAATAATTAAAAAATCAATACATAGGGAGACAGAGAGATAGACAAAAAAGAAAAAGAGAAAAAAATGGGAGGTGGGGGAGAGGGAGAGAATATATTCCTTATATCATGGGTACTTAGCTAACTCTGGACTATATTATCCACCATGGATGGTTGCATTGCATATTTTATGGAGTTTATAGGTTGCTCATTTAAATAAATTTAGTTTCTATGGAGTAATTATTACTACTCAAATGATTGCAAAATACCTTATAAATAAGGACATCTAGGTTTGGGTTGAATTGTTAACAAACGGACATCTTGTAAAAGACTTGTGGAACTTTCAGGCTTATTTAGATCAATGTGCCCCATCTGTATCCTGTTTCTGGAACACATAAAAATTACATCAGTCCTCTACTAATTGGATTGACTGATCAAATTTGAGTATCAGGAGACCTCAAATATCTGTTGAGTTTCTCTAAGATGCTCTATTTTGTTTTTGTTATAACCATTATAAGGTGAACCCACCTTAGAGATTTTATAAGCAAGAAATCTTCCATGAATCATAGCAGGTTAGACAATCTCTTTATCATACAAACATTCCCAACTAACCAGTGACTCTTTCTTCAGGAAATACAGATAGAGGTTTGTAGTTCCTTACATTGATTACTATTCTTACTATAACTCTCATTGTAACCAGTGATTAAGAGTTCATGATATCCCCTTATTCTGCTGGACCCTGAAGGGAAGTCAGAACACAGTACCTGTACTAAGGATCTTACAGGTCATTTGCAAATAAAAGCCTAAAGAAACACAATTAGGAAAATTATTTCAATTAAATGGTGCAGTATAGGATATGAATTTAAAATCTCAGGAAAGGGACATGATAACTCTTTGAAGGAAAAAATAACTCTTGTTTATTGAATGATAAAAAACTGAGGAGCCAAACCCTAAAATTCACTTGGAGACATCTTGCATCAATGAGAGTGCTATCCAGCCATCTAACTCCTTTCCTACTATAATATAAAGCTATCTTGTCTCCAAACTAACAATTTATAATGAGGGTCTTGTGTAATAATTGTGTGTACACCAACTTCCGAATAAAATTTGATAGGCAGTACATTGCTGACAGAAATCCAAGAATTTTTGATGCAGACCTTATGTCATCTCAATTAATATCCTCATTTGACAGATGAGAGAAAAGAACACCATAAATGTTAAATCATTTCCCATGATTTTTCTTTAAGTACATTTCAATTTCACCTTCCCCACCCAATCAACAACAACAACAAAAAATATTTAAAGACGTGTATCCAAAGGCATGGGAATAATAAAACTAAAACCATTTTTAAAAGAGGTTAATAATAATATAGTAAAAGTAGACTACAGTTACATCAAATTCACTACCAAAAAAAAAAAAAAAAAAAAGGAACATCAGTCTGGGCAAGTAGAGGTTCTGCAGAGTAAACTGACCAATACTCGGCCTTCAGAATGAAAATTTCTCCTTTTAATGTACATCAACAGAATTTTCCTCACTAATACTCAATAGGAAAACCTTCCTATTCCTGAAATAAGAACTTATTCCCCAACATTTGATCATCCTAAGGGTTGTGCCCCCCATAACAACTCAAAATGCCCTGAATTTCTTTATTCTTGGTCTAGACTCCCAGGCTGATTCTCATCTCCATCCTTAAAACTTACACTTTTGCTGTTATCATGTGTCATCATGTACAGTAGGTTAGGAACTTTTCACTGAACTTATCTCCTCACTAAAGAAGCTGGCTTATTAAAGGAAGCCTATAAATTCATTGTCCATAAGAAATTTATCAGCCTAAATGAACAGAAGGTTTATGCAGTGTTGGGTTTGAATACCTTAATTACTACTATATTTTCAAAGGCCAGCAAAATGTCTTCCATTTAGGTGTTCAACAGACTTTTTTCCGAATGAATGAGTGGCTACAGAAGCATATAAACTGGGTTTCAAGAGACAAAAAGCTTCTTCAAGAAAACAAGACAGAGTTAGGATATTTGATATATTAAATTGTTTATTAATATTTGATATATTAAATTATTTCATATTTATTATATTACCTATAATATGCATTATATTGTGTATAATATATAATATATTCTATTTATTTAATATATTATGAATATTAATTAAATATTTTATATATTAGGTATTTCCCTAAGGTCTTTCTTTGTTTAGGAAAATAATATGTTACTGGATTAATTTCTTTTTTAAGATTTATGTATTTGAGAAAGAGATAGGGCACGCGAGAGGGCATGTGCATTGGGGAAGGGGCAGAGGGAGAGAAATCCTCAAGCAGACTCCCTGCTGAGCTCAGGGGAGGGAAGGTTCCACTTCTCCCAGGACCCGAAGATCATGACGTGAGCTGAAATCAAGAGTCAGGCACTTAAACTACTGAACCACTCCACTGTCCCTATGTTAGCTGCATTTGTACATTTTTAAGAGCGGATAATGATTTATTTTAATTAACATGGTATTTTAGGAATTTAAGTAACTTTGATACTGTTATTTTGACAGAGTTCCTTCAAGGTAAAGGCTGACTTACCTTATAAATGGTAAGCTTGACTTTATAGTCATAAAATGCAGCTTTTACCTATTGTTAATTAGGTTAATTGCTTTAAAAGATTTTTTGCAAGAGTAATTTCATAACTCTTCATACCCTTGGGTCTCTTAGCCTGTGGTTCTGAGTTAAAAAACAAATTCTGAATTTATTTCATTTTATTTCTATTGTCAAACGACATTCATCCAACCACTCAAATAATTTATTAATTTTAATTATGGGTATATGCATACTGAGAATGTTCTCCTGCTGCTTTCAATTAAGTATGCAGCTCCTTGCTCTATTAATCCATTAACCTTAATTCTGAGGCATGCATCCAGAGAATATTATTATAAAACATCTGTGGCAAACTCACTCTTATTTTAGGAATACTTATGAAGTTACAGAAATAAGATGGTATCCCTTTAAAAACCCACAAAAATCAAGAATAAAATATGGTTTGTACCAAATTTAAAATAAATTTAGAGTAACTTCAATTAATATATAGATTTGTTCCTAATCAATAATATGAAAAACAAAATTCACTGTGACTATGGGAGAAATCTGGTGTACCAAAAAGGGCAGTAATTCAGTTATTACTACTCAGTATTACATTTACAATATGAATGAGGAAATGCTTTAAAATCAGGATTTTCTTGGAGATCTAGCTCCTGGAAAAATATGCTAAACCTTGTATCAGTTTGTCACATTTCTCCATTTTAAGTGTTAAATATTTTTATTCAGGACTATTTAATATTCTTTACAGATTCTTACAGTGTCTAAAGTTTTTCAGTGTTTGTGATCTTTATTTTACTTCAGGTTTTCACTGGGATCTTCACAGCAGAAATGGTTCTCAAGATCATTGCCATGGATCCTTATTATTATTTCCAAGAAGGCTGGAATATATTTGATGGAATTATTGTCAGCCTTAGTTTGATGGAGCTTGGCCTGGCAAATGTGGAGGGATTGTCTGTACTGAGATCATTCAGACTGGTATCTACTTAGACTATGTTTATATTCATCACTGGCATAAAATTTATTTTGAAAATGAATCAGTGCGTATCTTACATTTACTATTAATAATATTTTAAATCTACACCAATACACGTGATACTCTAAGAAGATACATAAACATTCTCTTTAAAGCTAAGTGTGACTATTTTCTAAGAATGATAAACATGGTGGAAATCATTGTTATAAAACCATGATAAAACTATGTTTTAAATTCACTCAAAAAACCTTTTTGCTTCAACTCTTTAAAGAAATGCATATAATAATTCTAGGCCTCAATTAACCTTTGCTTTTTATCAACCTTACTTATATTAATGGGAACTACTTTAAAGGAACTTATAGGAAAATATTTGATACCATTAGCATTTTAAACAATAGTCTAACAAACCTTTTTAAACTTGGCAAAAAAATTATTTAAAAATGTATAAAATTTAATTGCAAACTAAATGTGTATTTTTTCAAATTGAAAAGAAGCCTTTAAGTTATTTTTCATCAAATTAGTTTATTTTAATTTTATAAATATCCATTAAAATATGTAACATACTTTTCATATTTCTTTTTACTCTAAAATATAGTCTGAGGGTGACTTTAGTTTTCTAAATTCAATTTATATGTCTCTAATCAAAATATTAATGTGTTTTCAGGGATATATCTGTTGATCAATCAGAAATGTTTTATTTATCTTGACATATTTTATCTTTTTAGTTTTGCTTTTAATGATTTGATTTACAATTTGTGTATTACTAACTATTTTTTCTGGATTTGAATTTTAGTATGGTTTGAGATTTTATATCCCTCAGAGGTAGGTCTACAATATGGCATATTAACAAAACACTAACTAACTTCCAAAATTACATTGTGATTACTACTGAGGGTATGTTTTCACTTAATTACAGCTTCGAGTTTTCAAGTTGGCAAAATCTTGGCCCACGCTGAATATGCTGATAAAGATCATTGGCAATTCTGTGGGGGCTTTAGGTAATCTCACCTTGGTGTTGGCCATCATCGTCTTTATTTTTGCCGTGGTCGGCATGCAGCTCTTTGGTAAGAGCTACAAAGAATGTGTCTGCAAGATCTCCAGTGACTGCCAACTCCCTCGCTGGCATATGAATGACTTCTTTCACTCCTTCCTGATTGTGTTCCGCGTGTTGTGTGGAGAGTGGATAGAAACCATGTGGGACTGTATGGAGGTTGCTGGCCAAACCATGTGCCTTATTGTTTTCATGTTGGTCATGGTCATTGGAAACCTTGTGGTACGTATATATTACAAATGTGCATAATTCAGAACAAGATCACACAGTAGTCTGATGCATTGGACAGCTCTGGTTTCATCATCAATAAATTAGACTCAAATCCCAGGACTAGCACTCTGAGCTTGGGCAAGTTACTTAACTTCTTTGAGCCTGAAGTTTCCCAACTATGACAGCTAAATAAGAAAGCTGAAATCTTATGGTTGGTTTGAGGATTAACTGAAGTGTATTTGTGAAAGTTTGGGAACAAAAATACTAGTTTTTTTCTTTGTTTTTCAAGAAAATATTTTTATGAAGACTAATTTTATCCCCATATTACCATTATGGCCTGAACTATTTTTTACCCTATTACTACTGTTAAGAAAATGATCTCCAGTAAATCTAAAATTTTAACTGTCTATTCCATATTGAAATTGCTCCTTACACATTCATAGTTCATACTGTTGGCTTATTCAAAAGCATAAGTTGCATTTCACCAAATTTTGAAGATAAACTTCAAGAGAATAGAGTATTACATTGTAGCTATGTATTGTAATTATTCAAATGACTTGGAAGGGGACAAAATGTATCCTTCCCTGAATTTGCTTTATTAAAAGAAAATAAATTATTACAGTTTAAATTATTCACATATATGGACAGTGCCCAGAGTTAAGAAGCTACTTTTAGTTCTGACTTAAAAGCACTAATGTAAAAGCACAATTTGTATTTTTATGTGTTTTAATGCTTACATTTCTCAATTATGTGTGTACATAGTGTTCTTTATGCCATAATACTTGAATCTTTCCTTTGAGGCACACTTCAAATAAGACCACTTGAAAGAATGTGGGATAACTATAGACATGCAATTTTTTTCAGAATAGTAAATTAGGAAGCTCTAGATTCTGAACAAAATCTGATATAGAAATAAGGAAACAAACTAGGGTTCTTGCTTTGATGGGAAATGTGTTAACCTTACACAATTCACATTTAGAAATTTTCATTGTTACAAATTTTTAACCGTTGGACAAGGGAATTTACATTAAAAGTATACTGTTTTAACACATATTGCCAGGCTATCAAATAAATAAATTCATGATTTATACACAGGAAGCTAGACATTCTCCAGGGAAACCGATAATATGAAGTAAAATGACTAAAATGATCTTTTCTCATTGGCCAAACCCATCAAAATGGAATTTTTTTCCCTTCACTGGCAACCCTGAGTAGACAACTTTAAGTCTTAGAAGTTCTGGTTTCCTGTTGTCCTCTTGGTATGAAAGAAAAGGCACTTGTTTTTTCATATTGCCCTTATAGCAGGTAGACGGTATCGGGTCCTTTAAATAGTGTGTGATTAAGACACTTGTCTAAAATACAGTAAACATTCAAGAAACATTTGTTGAATTAATTTTAGCAAAGATCTATGAGTTCCCTGTTTAAGTTCTTATTTTATGCATACTTCATATTAATGTAATAAATTTTCTTTTTTTCATTTAGGTTCTGAACCTCTTTCTGGCCTTACTGTTGAGTTCATTTAGCTCAGACAATCTTGCTGCTACAGATGATGATAATGAAATGAACAATCTCCAGATTGCAGTAGGAAGGATGCAAAAGGGAATTGATTATGTGAAAAATAAGATACGAGAGTGTTTCAGAAAAACCTTTTTCAGAAAGCCAAAAGTTATAGAGATCCATGAAGGCAACAAAATAGACAGCTGCATATCCAATAATACTGGAATAGAAATAAGCAAAGAACTTAATTATCTTAAAGATGGGAATGGAACCACCAGTGGTGTAGGTACCGGAAGCAGTGTTGAAAAATACGTAATCGATGAAAATGATTACATGTCATTCATAAACAACCCCAGCCTCACTGTGACAGTGCCGATTGCTGTCGGAGAGTCTGACTTCGAAAACTTAAATACTGAAGAGTTTAGCAGTGAGTCAGAACTAGAAGAAAGCAAAGAGGTAAGAATGCTTTTAAAGTTTTTGTCACCTTTCCTGTAATAACCATCCATTATGGTTACTTGGGTTTTTTATTGTGTTTATGTGCATTATTACAAAGTATATTGAAAGTCATACATATGACTTTCCAAGAGCAGTGCTAGAAAATTATGAGATATTTTTTATTGGGAAATCCACTCATAGAAATTCCAGCTTTCCAAAGGAAATCATCATTCTCAATAATTTGTATATTTATCTTCTTGATAGTTTGAAAATCTGGCTAAAAATGTGTCCTGCCAAAAAAATAAACCATATTTAATACCTTCTATTCTATACACTGCATTATACTCTTTAGACAAATAAATGAACCATATTTTATTGATCGTTGTGAAAGTATCATCTCCTTACTGTCTATATTAGGTTTTGCTCTGAATTTTTTAATGTGAAACTTTCATGTAGTTTTTGTTCACCTCTGAAAGTTTTACTGACTATGATAGAATGTTATACATTTATGGAAGTGTTACACATATTTGGAAAGTGCAAGTAGCACTGACTGAATTTTGCCCAGTCAAGAGTAAGCAAATCCACCAGGTGTTCCAGATTAACTTGAAAATGCTAAGATCTACTTAGAAAAGCTCCACTTGAGGATTACAGTTAAGAGGTAAAAGTTGAAAAGCTGCTCTTACTTACATTACAAGTTGTTCAAAACAAAACAAAGGAGAAAGGGAATTGTTCTTACTGTATGATTAGAATTCACAGAATCCCATAATGGCAGCTTAATGGTATTAATTCTGCAATTTTGTGTTATGGAGAACAGGATTAAAATTTTTTACTATTACTTAATTTTGGACTTCTAATACACCAGTGGGAAGTAAGTCTAGCACAGAGTTATAAAAGACAGATTTTAGCTTAAGGGTATGATATTAGCACCACAGGAATCAGACCAATGGTGTCTGATTTTGTGAGCATATTTTAAAACTTCTCTTTTTAAGAATGGTATCTGTAGAGTTTGTATAAGTAATAAGTAGTTGACAATGACAATGTCATAACTCATAGCTCCTGACCCTTTCTTTCTAGCATTTTGGTGCTGCTGAGATGTATTTTGATAGTAAATTTGAAAATATTTTTTAAAGGTAAAAACATATACAAAATGATGTATAATATTCCTGGAATTCCACCCGAAGTCCACTTACTGAGCTTTCAATTTTAATGTATGTATTGCTCATTCTGAGAAAATAAAAATTCAGTATAATTTTATTTTTCATCACTTAAAAGATTTATTTAAGAAAAACAACAATTAGCTAATGAGCAATTATTGAACGGTTTTTTTGTGAACTTGGCATTCTGCTGCATACTAAGAGTAAAAAAGAGTTAAAGGAGAGCTCTACAATATATCTCCCTTTGGGAAATCTCAACATCTTTGAGGAAGCCAACACTAATTCTCAAAATCATTAAAGCGCTATTAAAAAGTTTTACCCTGCAGGACTGAATATAAAAATTACAGGTACTAAGAACAGCAAGAACATAGCAAGTTGCTAAATGGAAGAGATAAAATTGAAATAGGCTTCCAAGTTTGGGTCAAATGTATGATTAAAAAGTCATAGCAAAACCCTACCGAAGGAAAGCCACAGTTGAGAATGAGCTTGGTAATTGAGGTACAGCAGTGGAACAATCAGCATGAATAAAGTATTCGTTGAGAAGACAGTGGAAATTTGTTTGGGTGAATCAGGTATTTTCAGATTGTAAAGTCTCTGAAGTTAAGTAGAAAAATTTAGAATTGCCTGCATAGTCAATACAGAGCTATTTGTTCTGAAGCAGGGGAAGGGCAAAAATAAAGTGAAGTTTTAGCAAAGGTTATTTGATATCAATGAGTAAAATAGAGTGAGGGATGAAAGGGTTTATCTTGAGGAATGTGTTAACAACCATTTGATAGCAAAGAAGTGATGAAATTTTGGGCTAAGATAAGGTAATATGTATGGGCACTGAGACATTCTGGCAATCTGACACACTAGTGAAGACTAGGAAATTGGAAAAAACAGTAATTTCACTCTCCGAAATGGCCTTTTTAGGAAGGTTACCAGGTGTAAGTGGTAAGAGGGAAGAAGTCAATTGGAATATACTGAATTAGAAGTGAGAATGTTGGGGGGAAAAGGCTGGGTGAGAAATCGGGGTTTAAAGACAGATTTGATAATTACCTGCCTCCTTAAAAATAGACGAGTTTACCAAAGAAAGAATTATAAAGAGAAAATAAGGGAAGATTAGGGACAAGAGTAGGGGTCAATCTGGGGTCAAGAAGAGGCAGAAAAACCAAAAAAGTAGAGAAATTTTGTTACATTAATATCACAGGTTTTATCACATTGGGTTTATGGAAATTAAATATTTAATTACTTTCTACCAAAAAGTTGGTTTCCGGAATATTTCAAAAACTCTATAATGCCTGCAGATATTTCAAATGACTGCCTGGAAAAATACCTCCTCATTGCCATGTCTTTTTAATGGCTAGAAAATCATAAATTTGGTATGCAGAGACACACTGTCTAGAAAACAGTTTATCATCTGAACAAAAATTCCTTTTTAGGTGACTCTTTATAATCATTTTATCCTCTTCCAAGCTAAATTTTGGATACATGGAAACCAATTACAGAGTGTAATGAAATTGTTTAAAATGTATAGATAGTGTGAAAATTTATCAAACTAAATATAAAATCAAATACTTTTACAAAGCTAAGATAAAACTTCAAATTATTTCACATGGTAGAAATAAATTCAACAATAAATTTCATATGATTTTTAAAGTTAGCACAAAAAAGTTAACAGGAAATTCTCATATATGCTCACACAAAGATTAAAAATACAATGTTTCTAAAAAATAAAAAGCAAAAAATCAGCATTTTCTAACATTATACAGTAGGCTTAGATAAATTCCAGAAAAGTTCATTTTAACCTGGAACTTCTGAAAACTGCTGGCACTGAACACAGGTCATGTTTCAGATGCATATTTATGTTGGCTGGGTTATTCTTTTTTAATAATTATTGCCCACACATATATACACACAAATGAAAAATAACATATCCATAAAGTAACACTTGGGTTCATGCTTCTGAGTTTTTTGACCATAAATAGAAAAAGAACATTGAGCTATGTTTTGAAGAACACAGAATATCCTTTCTTTTTACTGACAAAGTAAGAAATCATACAAACTAAACAAATGGAGTGATACATTTCTCACTAAAAAATTAATAAGTAATTTAAAAAGCTTGTAATATATCTGCTTTAGGGGACAGTAAGTTAATCATTAACTTAGTATTTGAAAACTCTAGTCACTCTACTCTTTACATTCATTTTCATAATACTGCATATCTAGCTATAGTACAATTAAGAAGAAATGATCCCTAAAAGTTGTTAGAGATAAAGATAAGAATTGCTGTTATTATTTTTATAATATATGTGTTTATATATCTATATTCATTACATCCACATATATGGCTCGCTAACATAAACAGGCTGGTATGAAAACAACTACAAAGCTTGGCATGAAAAAATGTAAGAGAATGAAAGGTATGAAATGCAAAATAGTGATCTTTTTATCGTGGGAAAACTTGGAATTATACAAATCTTGTGACAAAATAAAAAGTAGAATTTTGTTTATTTTCGTATTTTTAAAGTTCATGTAATCATGATTTCTTGGAATATTTATAGAACTATGAATTTTTACAGGTTAGTTTTTTAAAAGATTTCATTGTCTTCCTAGATGAGGATATGGAATAAATGTTCTTAAGAATCGTATCTGAAGTTGAATTCCAAAGCACAATCTAGCAATATCATACCGTGACCTTCACTACTTACCGTTCTTACTTCTCACAGGGGTAAAATCAAGCTGGAGCCATCAAGAGTGCAGCTCTGGTGTTTTTTAACCAGCCAGAGGCTCGGGCCACCACTTTTACCCAGGTTACCCAAGCAAGTGGTACATGTACAGTCACTTTTGAAGTGAATTTTGACTGGCCTGCATGCTACTCAGCTGTTCCTTCCCCTGCCATGGCAAGGAAGCGCTAGATGTGCCCAGCTGCTCTCTGCTGAATTGTGTGACACATCATAGCATGGTCAGGAGAGATGAGCAGTCCCATATCATATTTGATTCTGCTAATGAGTCTTCCAGTGTAGTCTTTTAAACTCTGAAAAGCAATAATTGCATGCTCTATAGGATTTATAGCTGTTTTAAAACATGATAGGAATGTTTAAAGTACAATATACTCAAGAATTTAAGAGAGCATGCATTTTTTTTTATTTCTCTGCTTTTATTTCATTAAAATGAGACCACAATTTTTTGTTGTTGTTGATTCAGCCCTTATAAGTAAATTGTATTACCAAAATGAGCCTCATGGGATTTTTTTAATAGTGCCATTTTTAGATCATTATATTCAGATTCATGAATATAATTTTCAACCCTTATAATTCATTTGCTACAGACGGAAATGTGTGCTTTCATGGTTTTTTTTTTAAAGGCTCTATAAAAAATAAAAGCAGGGTGATCATAAGTTTCTGGATATGAAGGGCCATAGTCTGTATGTATTTGGGCACCACATATCTTGGATTTCATATAGTTTAGGAAAGTTTTTAAGTCATATTGTAAAATCATAAGTGATCACTGCAAAGTCCTCAGAAGAAGGAAAGCATCATGATATGGGTAGTTCACATCTTGTCATTAATTGGTCCAGTGTACCCATTTTTCAAAAAATTTCCCTAATCTACCTTAATGTTCCCTAAAACTGAGCAGCTAAAAAAGAGACACAGAAAATGTCCTGTTTTTTTTAGTATTAATTATGGTTTTATGACAAGTAAAGGGCATCTCCCAAGATTACTATACGTTTATGGATTAAGCCTTTAGTTTATTCTCTTCGTGCAACCTTCTCTTATTGATATCAGTGCTTACTGGAATCTCAGCCACAGTGTGGGGTCTGGAAAGAAAATTACAAAACCAAAGTAGAATAAAGTTCTTGAGTATTGGCAACTTCAATACTTTTAG